CCCAAAAAAAAAAAAAAAAAAAAAAAATGGGAGCCTCGACCGGACTCCTATGGACCATATCCATCGCGGTTTTGATCGCAGCCGCGGCTGCGGCGGAGGCCGAGACCAAATGGCCGGGGAAGTGGGAAATGTTCCTGCAGAACTCGGGTGTCTCGGCAATGCACGCGGCCTTGATGCCTAACAACAAGGTTCTGTTCTACGACTCCACCATCTGGAGAACCTCCGAGATCAAACTGGCTAAGGACGAGCCTTGCCACGTGTACGACCCGAACAAGCCGGCCGATTGCTTCGCTCACTCGGTTCTTGTCGACGTCAACACCGGTGCCCTAAAGCCTCTTCTGGTATGACCAACACTATCCTTCTTTTTATTACAAAGATCTCACCGACATGGTATACTCATCTCTGTTCTTTTTCTTGTCGGACGATAGCTAAGCACGGACACATGGTGCTCATCCGGAGGTTTGACTAAAAACGGGACTTTGGTTAGCACCGGAGGGTTCCAAGGAGGAGCTAACACGGCTAGGTACCTAGGCACGTGCGATGACTGCAAGTGGGTCGAGTACCCGACCGCTCTTGCGGCCAAGAGATGGTATTCGACCCAAGTCACCCTCCCCGATGCCTCGTTCATGGTGGTGGGCGGTCGGGATGCCCAAAACTACGAGTTCATTCCCCGGGAAGGAAGGACCAACACCAAACTTTTCGACTCGGCTTTGCTAAGAGAAACAACCGAAAGGGATGAGAACAATCTCTACCCTTTCGTTTGGCTCAACACCGACGGGAATCTCTTCATTTTCGCCAACGATCGATCCATCCTCCTCAGCCCGAGAACCAACACGGTCCTAAAAGAGTTTCCGAGGCTCCCCGGCGGCGCACGTAGCTACCCGGGATCCGCGAGCTCGGCCCTTCTCCCTATCCGTCTAGGTCTTGTCAACCCAGACGTCATTCCAGCCGAGGTTATCATCTGCGGTGGCTCGAGAAAGGACGCCTATTCTCGCGCTTACCACAAGATCTACGAGCCGGCGTTGCAAGATTGCTCGAGAATCAGCATCAATAGCCCTAACCCTCAATGGGTGACCGAGATCATGCCTACTCGACGTGTGATGGGTGACTCCGTGATCCTTCCCACGGGCGATATCCTCTTTGTCAACGGCGCACAACGTGGATGCTCCGGCTGGAACTATGCCAAGGATCCCAACCACGTCCCCCTCTTGTACTCCCCTGACCGCACCATTGGAAAACGCTTCACAGAACTCGCACCTTCCACCATCCCGCGTATGTACCACTCGACTGCTATCGCTCTCCCCGACGGTAAAGTCCTGGTCGGAGGCAGCAACACGAACAACGGATACCTCTACAACGTGGAGTACAACACCGAGCTCCGCGTCGAGAAATACTCGCCGCCGTACCTGGACCCGGCTCTATCCAACCTCAGGCCGACAATCGTGGCCTCGGGCACGCCCAAACAGGTGAGGTTCAGGAGGAAGTTCACCGTGAAGATCGAGCTGAAACAGGAGAAAGTGGTGAAGGAGGATCTGAAGGTTACGTTGCTGGCGCCATCTTTCACCACGCACACGGTCTCGATGAACATGAGGATGGTGGTGTTAGGGCTGAACGACGTTAAACGCAACGTGGCTCCAGGCGTTCACCACATTCAAGTCTACGCGCCGCCGAACAGAAACATTGCGCCGCCCGGTTACTATCTGATCTTCGCCGTATACAGAGGTGTCCCCAGCGCCGGAGAGTGGATTCAGGTTGTCTAAAAAGATCGATAACGACGACGATCTTTTTGCTCTGAAGCACCGATGGTTGATTCAAGATTTCTTTTTTTGGCCCATGTTTTTCGTCGATTCTTGTGCGCGACAATTCTTTAATTCTTTTTGTGATGACGTTAATACATAAAAATAAATTAAAAAAAATAAATCAAATGAAGAGTCTATTTGACCCTTGAGCCTCAAAGTTAACAATTTGTTTCGGGTTTCGGTGGAGTTAAGCTTAATTACCAAAAACTCCTCGTTAATCCCAACGCGTAATGCCATGCGAATTGCGAAACATGGCCTCAAGATTTATCGGTATCTTTTTTTTTAAATAATTATTAATTATAATATATAATTATTAAAGACTATAATCACAATGGAAATGATAAAGTTTTATCGGATATCATAAATTCAGTAGAACCGTTGTAACATAAAATTAAAGATTTATTTTACAAACGTAAAATAAAATATATCAACAGATTTACAAAAAAAAGTTTATAAAAACTCATAATTACTAAAAGATTTATTTAAAAGATTAATAAAAAATTTCAATAGTAACTAAAGATACTATAAAAACTCAAGAAGAGAGAATTACAAAAGTTTATTTCGCATTTACGCATAATTACAGATCATTTTTTTTTCTCGAGAGAGGAACACACTAGATATTGTTTCATTTTTTTTTCATCCTCAACCCTAGTAACCTTTGTCGGATTGTACGTGGATTCTTCTTCAAAGAACATCCAAATCTCCGTTATAGTTTCTTTTTTTTTTTCGACCCTTCTCTTTTTTGGATTCGATAGAAATAAAAAAAAATGACTAATCAGAGGTTTCGATAGTTTCGATCTTTAACCTCACGATAATACAATGCTCGATCGCATGAGCTCTAATGGCGATAACCCTAAGTTGGAGAACAGGCGAGCTAGAGAGAAAAGACTTTGGTCTTATAAAGAACCACGCTGGTAAAATGACCGAACTGACCTCGAACTCTTGACCAAAAAATAGGGGTGTCAATAGAACCCGAAGTCCGAAGTCCAACCCGAAACCCGCCCGAAAAATTAAGGACCTGAGCCTAATAATATAGACCCGATAAATAAATGGACGGACCGGTCCGACCCGAAAAAAATTAAGACCGAATCGAATCCGGTCCGAAACCTGCCCGACCTGCCCATTTAGCCCGAAAAAATATTATATTATTAGATTTTTACTTTCATTTGAGATTTAATACCACACAATATTATATAAAAACTTTTATTTGTATGTTTTATATATATATATTTATATTTCAAAGCAATTTGATTAATATATATTAAACTTATATTATATATATATATATTATCAAACAGTTTGATTAGATTTTGGTTTAATTAATTTATATATATATTTATATTTATATATATATATTATTAGTTTAACTTTAATTTTTAAATTCCATTTCAATGTTTTTCTATACTTTATTGTACCGAATATAATTTTCATTATTATTATTATTATTATTATTATTTAAATTATTATTATTATTATTATTATTATTATTATTATATATTAATATTTATTTTTTATTAAATAGAAAAAACACGAAATCTGGTTGGAATCCATCCGAAGTCCTATAAAATCGGATTACGGACCACCGATTATAGATTCGAAAAATAAATGGACAGACCGACCTGACCTGAAAAAATCTAAGTCCGAACTAAATCCGATCCGAACCCTGCCCGACCTGCCCATTTTACACCTTACCAAAAAATCAAAACTGGTGAAATGACCGTTGTACCCTCGGAACTCCTCGCCGCATGTGTATAGGATAGCGAACCCTCCCCTACTACCAGTATCTTTCGGACACGCTTCGCTTCATGCGTATTCCTAATTTGAATATTGTTTTATTATCTTTTAATTTATTTTATTATTGTTTTATTGTTTTTAAAGTTTGTGTGATATAAAAAGTTAAAGAGAATAATATTTATTTATTTAATATTTTATATTATTGTTTGTATGTCAAAATATAAATTTGGATTTTACATGTTAAGATATTAATTAATTGTTTGATTATAATTTTTTTATAATCCAAAATTATCGTAACCGATTAATACGGACCGATCGTTCGCCCACCCCTATTAACCCCATTCCAAACAAATCTTTGTATTTTTTTTGTTTGATTATCATCGAATCCATCCATCCTTGAAGTACCCAAAAAAAAAATCTGTAACAAGACTGCATCCATTCAACGTTAATAAACACGAAATGTTTATGAATCACCTGCTTTTGTAGGGACAAAGTCAAAATACAAATTTAGAAACGATAAAATTAGACTACGTTTACCTATAAATATAACCAGAAACAAGAGATGATTCTCCAGGCACCAACACGAGCCATCAACCGAAGGAGAAAAAAAAACACGAAGCTAAAATAAAAAATAAAATAAAAATGGGAGCCTTAACAGGACTCCTATGGACCATATCCGTGGCGGTTTTGATCGCGGTCGCGGCCGCGGCCGAGGCCGAGACGAAATGGCCGGGGAAGTGGGAGATGTTCGTGAAGAACTCGGGAGTTTCGGGAATGCACGCGGCCTTGATGCCTAACAACAAGGTTCTGTACTACGACTCCACCATCTGGAGAACCTCGCAGATCAAACTGCCCAAGGGCGTGCCTTGCCACGTCTACGACCCCAAGAAACCGGCCGACTGCTTTGCTCACTCCGTCCTCCTCGACGTCAACACCGGCGCCCTTAGGCCTCTTCTGGTACCATACGATAGAAAGGAAACGTAAATGTTGTTACAAAGACTTGTTTGAGATTTAACTACTCGTATGTTTTTGTCCTAAACGACAGTTAACCACGGACACATGGTGCTCGTCGGGAGGTTTGACGAAGAACGGGACGTTGATTAGCACTGGAGGATACCAAGGAGGAGGCAGAACGACGAGGTACCTAGGCACTTGCGACAACTGCGAGTGGAACGAGTACCCGACGGCTCTTGCAACCAAGAGATGGTACTCGACTCAAGCCACCCTCCCCGACGGCTCGTTCGTCGTGTTCGGCGGCCGAGAGACCCACAACTACGAGTACATTCCCCGAGAAGGAAGGATGAACACCAAGCTTTTCGACTTGGCTTTGCTTAAAGAAACACTCGAGAAGGATGAGAACAATCTCTACCCTTTCGTTTGGCTCAACACCGACGGAAATCTATTCATTTTTGCCAACGATCGAGCTATCCTCCTCAACCCGGGAACCAACGCTGTCTTGAAAGAGTTCCCGAAGATCCCTGGCGGCGCACGTAGCTTTCCGGGCTCCGGAAGCTCGGCTCTACTCCCTATCCGTCTAGGTGTTGTTAACCCGGATGTCATCCCGGCCGAGGTTATCATCTGCGGTGGCGGAAATAAAGAAGCCATGTTTCGCACTAATACCAGGAGAATCTACGAGCCCGCATTGCAAGACTGCGGAAGAATCGACATAAACAGCCCTAACCCTCAATGGGAAATCGAGATGATGCCTACTCGACGTATAATGGGTGACGCCGTGATCCTCCCCACGGGCGATATCCTCTTCATCAATGGTGCAAGGCGTGGAGCCGCGGGTTTTAACTATGCTAAGGATCCTAACTACATTCCCCTCTTGTACTCTCCCGACCGCAACATCAGCCAACGCTTCACAGAACTCGCACGGGCTACCATCCCACGCATGTACCACTCGACCGCTATCGCTCTCCCCGATGGTAAGGTCTTGGTCGGCGGTAGCAACACAAACGATGGATACTTCTACAACGTCGAGTTCAGTACCGAGCTCCGGGTCGAGAAATTCTCCCCGCCTTATCTGGACCCGGCTCTATCCAACCTCAGACCGACGATCGTGGCCTCGGGCACGCCCAAACAGGTCAGGTTCAGGAGGAAGTTCACCGTGAAGATTGAGCTGAAACAAGCGAACGTGGTGAAGGAGGATCTGAAAATTACAATGCTGGCACCATCTTTCACTACGCATGCCGTTTCGATGAACATGAGGATGTTGGTGTTGGGGCTGAATGACGTTAAAAGCAATGTGAATCCAGGCGTTCATCACGTTCAAGTCTACGCGCCGCCGAACAGAAACATCGCGCCGCCCGGTTACTATCTGATCTTCGCCGTCTACAGGGGTGTCCCCAGTGTCGGAGAATGGATTCAACTCGTCTAAAAGATTGGTAATGACGGCCATCCTTTTCTCTTTTTTCCCGGAAGCCCAAATGATCGATTCAAGGCTTCCTCTTTGGTCCATGTTTTCCCTCCCTTCCATTGTGTGGTAATTCTTTGATTCTTTTGTGGCGACCTTAACACAAAAATAATTTTTATTTTTAAAATAATGATGAGATATTTGATCCTTGAGCCTCAACATTCACAATTTGGTAACGATTCATCTGAAGACGAACGCCAATATTTGCTAGAAGCTGTTATAACAAATAATAATAATCAGAAACACAACAACTTTTTGATAAAAGAGATTGTAGTCTTGAACATGAAAACAATCGATTCAAGATTCTTTTTTGGTCCATGTTCTTGATAGAAATGCGTTGTGCAAAGGAAAGAGCGAGGAATGAAATCAATTTGTTTTGAGGAAGAAGAAGAAATGGTCGGAAAGTTGATACCTCATAGTTAAATTTTCTGGTTATATAAAAAGACTTAGAAACCAGTCAGCAGACATACTTTGGTTCATCGTTTCCTTTACTCGTTTTGGCAATTATTCGTTACACATTTGCTATTGATTCCATTGATTTGGGTACAAATTCTTTTAAATCAAAAGAGAAAATAGTTTCAACCCAATTTATACTTTTGGAGTTCAACATTGTAGTAGTTTGCGTTGAACAAACTAAACCGGAAAAGAACTGAACTAAATTCGGATTCGGGTTCGGTTCGGTTTGATTTGTTTCTATTTGGTTTCGTCCCATTATCAGTTTCTCAAAAGACGATGCAATGCAAAAGCGAAACCAATCTGAAACTTTTATTCACTCTTTCTAATGGTAAATTTGCAACTCCCTGATTTACACGACGTGACATCAGTGCAGTTTTTGAACAAACTACACTAATCACAGCAGCGTTTCTAACAATAGTGAACTAATATAACCACTGTAGAAAGATCGAATCCAAACAGATTGTGCATTAAATGACTTAGATTACCTGTCTTGCTTGCTCTATGAAGACGAGGCTGGCCAGAGTATTTCTTCAAAGCTAATAGTAGGGAACAGATTAGGATTCCGATGTGTCTTTTGCTCCTGTTCAGACCCGGTTCCAGGCGTTTTGGTTGCTCCCTTCTTTGGTTGCTCACTCCAGCTCTTTCAGGAAATCGATGTTGTCAACAAATACCTACAAAACGGAGGGTGAAATCCGTTTTTTTGTTCGTGCAAGAAATCGAGACGGTCAGTCAGCTATCTGTTGTTACCTCTCGAATTCGTAACAAGAGTAGGTAGAAGTGAAAATAATCGGACATAGGCATGGTAAAGGAACGGTAAACTGAAAACATAACATGCGCAAAAGGGCCGGTGAATGGAGAAATCCTCTGTAGTACAGAGGGTTTGGCCAGTCACTTGCAGGCCACATTAGTGGGACTAAAAACTTCATTTCCACAGCTCACACAGTAAAGATAAAAACTGCGTAGATCAATTCCTTTTTTTTTTCCAGTGTTGATTGAATATCAACAACTCATGCAATATGATATAATTGTGAGGAATCTTACCGTCTTCCAACCATCAGGATCTAAGCATGCAGTAATCTTGGTATTAATACCAGGTAATGGCCCAGGTTCCCGGGTGATTTTTCCTCCACAGAGTTTTATTGCCTCAGCGGTTTTGTAGACGTCATCTGTGCCTATAGCAATCTGTGAATATATTTAACGGGAGTTCACAAACAATTGTGATTAGCCACATCAGAAAGCGTATTTCGTGCAATGCAGGAGCTTATGGGAAGTTAATTAAGGCAAACTGAGAACAGAAACGGAAAATCTATACTTTCTCTAACACTTTCACATAATCACATGATGCGAATTGGTCTGGAAACACCTAAAAACATGTTCAGAGTTTCTACCTGAGCGTAAGCATTCCCTTTTGCATATTCTGTGACGCCATAATTATATGTCAGCTCAAGAACTGCACTTTTATCTTCTGGACCATATCCCATCATGGCTATCGTGTACTGGAAATAAGATTACATATGAGGTAAGTGGTATAAGAAGAAGTAAATAAACAGCAAACTTGAAGCTCACAACAGCACATCTTGAAGGGAAAAGACAAAAAAGAAAAGTGAGATACAAAGCCTGTCCTAGCACCTACATGATTGTAAGAAAAAGTCATGGAAGCAAAAGTGGAGATATGAGGCGCTACAAGTTACCTTGTAGTCTGGATTGTCTCTTGTCCGGAGAAGCTCCATTCCGAAAGCCTATAAAGAGAGGAAAGGCATATTAATCAAGAATAAAAACACAGTTTGAAAATGCTCAGATGACACAGGTTGAAGCTCAAAATCATGTTTGAAAAGGACTCACCTTCTCAAAGAAATTTATGGACCTATTGAGATCACCAACACGAAGCATAACTTGACAGAGAGGTTCTGGTGTAGGACCTCTTTCCAAGAGTTCAAACTTGTAGCCATCAGGATCTTCTATAAAAGCAATTACAGTTTTGCCACCCTTGACAGCACCAGGCTCTCGGGTAACTTTGCCACCTTTGGCTTTTATAAGCTCAACAGTTTTTGCAACCTTGTAAGAGAAGTAGGTAGCACTAGTTAGAAACGAGACTAAGGGGAACAGAAACAACAAAAAAACACCCAACTAGGGAGAACAAAAGCAGGCCAACATTTCACATGAACGTTAGAAACTCACATCCTCAACTGCAATACCGAAGTGTCCAAAGCCATCTCCAATGTCATAATTGTCGACCCCATAATCTGGAAGCAGCATACTTCCAACACTCAGATTAACCATCTTACAAAATATGCAGGCCATTTAACTCATGCAGAGATACAATTTGTAGTCCAGATTTTTTCAACAATTTACGTCCAATGCTGCAGGGTCATGGCAGTAGCACGAAAAGGCAAGGTACAGATCACTTACTATACGTTAGCTCAATCACAAAGTGCGAATCTTCAGGCCCATAACCAAGGAATGCATTTGTATATTTCTCTTCTGGTATATCACGTTTGCGTAGAAGCTTCATTCCCAGACATTCAGTATAGAATCTGCAGCAATCAGATATTTCTATTGTATCCTATATGTGCCACCAAACATTTTGAAACGTACTCAAAGATCTTGAGCTACACATAAGATTAAACAGTCAAATCAAATCAGGAGAAAGCAAACTTTTATACTTTATTGTCCGGTCCATGTCCCCGACACGATAAACTACATGAAGCATCCTTCTCTTGTCCTTTTTGACCCACTCCAGAAGATCCTCCTGGGCAGCAGTTGTGCTTGCTTGAGCTGCATCCCCAAATGCTGCCACTCCAAAGCTGTTAACCCCCCTTCTCAACAACGTAGAGGACTTCAGCCCACAGTGTAGTGAATGATGAACAGCTGAAAACAATAGGAAAATCAGTTTATCTGTAGATAGTTTCAACATACTCGGCACAAGGAAGCATGAGAATGAGAAAATAAGAGATTGAAAGCAAAAATCTTGAGCTACACATAAGATTAAACAGTCAAATCAAATCAGGAGAAAGCAAACTTTTATACTTTATTGTCCGGTCCATGTCCCCGACACGATAAACTACATGAAGCATCCTTCTCTTGTCCTTTTTGACCCACTCCAGAAGATCCTCCTGGGCAGCAGTTGTGCTTGCTTGAGCTGCATCCCCAAATGCTGCCACTCCAAAGCTGTTAACCCCCCTTCTCAACAACGTAGAGGACTTCAGCCCACAGTGTAGTGAATGATGAACAGCTGAAAACAATAGGAAAATCAGTTTATCTGTAGATAGTTTCAACATACTCGGCACAAGGAAGCATGAGAATGAGAAAATAAGAGATTGAAAAAAAAAAAAAAAAAAAAAAAAAAAAACTCTGGCCTACCAGAACACCCTTTAACTCTACCCTCAAACCTGCAAAAGGCTTACAAACATATATAATGCGCTAATACTCAGTCATGAGGTGATATGGATACAAGTAGAATTAAAGAGCTGCATATACAGCTGTTTTCAGTTCCATAGCTTGAGATCAGAGAAGGCAGCATCAGCATGTGGCCTTAGATATACGAGGACTAGCAGAACTTGGACATACTGAATAAATTTCAAAACAATGGAAGCTTAGTACTTTATGGCCATATGGTTCAGCACTACTCCAGAGGAATGACCACAAAAAGTATACACTACGAAGAATTTAACTAAAGTAACCTTCGAGCACAAACTCTTTCAAAACTCTCCAGTACAGACTCTTTCTCAACTCCCCGGTACGAACTCATTCCATGCTCTTGGAACAAGTCGAAACTAAACTGCTTTCAGTTCAGCAGAATAAGCATCTTATCCACAGAAAAAGCAAACATTAAGAAGATTTTATTGAAAGTAATCATTTGAGCACAAACTCTCTCTGAACTTTCTATGCCCATGTTCACTAAACAAGTTCAAAAGACATTTCTCTGATATCAGTACGATAAGCATCTTATCCACATCAATGGCTACATAAAAAATGCAGGAAACATCTGTCCAAACCCAGAATCAAATAAGCTGAACCATAGTCAGGAAAATGGTCACAGTTACGCCCAACAAGGCAAAAGAAAAAAAAGCAAAGCATTCATGTCCGAAACAACAAACACCATCAAGATGCGCAGCAACCTTGTATTTTACTATTCTTGCCTTCTCCAGGAGATTTCAGCTTTTCTCATGCCAAAGTTTTGAGATTGTAGAGAGAACAAATGAAACCATAACACAAACACCACCAATCAAAGAGAAATCCGAACAATCTCATTCCCCGAAACATAACCACGAATCACAGTAAACAATTCCACAGATAACCCTAGTTCCAAATTCCACTCATTAATCGAACAAAACTTCCAATTTCCTCTCTCAGATTCTCAATATCTCACAAACCCAACGAGATCAGAGGGTCCGGATATGGGGGAGCCTTACCGCCGGAGAAACGGGTGCAAGGAACGGTGCGCGAGCGATTGAAGGAAGAGAGAGAGGTAGAGAAGCGAGGAGATGCGGAGAAACAGCCGAGGGAAGGTCGGAATGAGGACGCCATGGGAATGATCCTCACCATCTTTCGTCGTCTTCTTCGTCCTTGAGAGTCTGCAGATGATGATGATGATGATGATGATGTGTATGTATATGCGTCAACCCGAAATGTATCGCTCTGATTGGACGAACGAACAAAGCGGTGGTTTTTCAACTCTCGTGGAAGAGGAGGAAGATAGTGAAGAGGCGATGGAAGTAACGATAAGCTCTGTAATTTTATTTTATTTTTTGTTAAATAAAAATATTACCTTTCGAATCTTAGGAGAATAAATTCTGAGCTCAAAATCCAAGCAATCTTTCGTTTTACCTGTAACACGTTCATTGGCTGGGTTTTCTTGATCAATTCGTATAATTTATATTAAAGTATTCTAAAGAAAAATAATCTAATTTACATCAAGTTAAAAATCGATGCAAAACCGAATAAAAAATAAATTTTATAAAATTTAAAATAAAAATATTCAAATTAAAATAATTAAAACTGAGAAATATGACTCCTAATATACACATTCACTCACATTTAGTTTCGAAAATGGTTATGGTTATTGTCGAGCTAGTTCGTAATCTTGTGGTATTTTTGCTCTACAAATACATGAAATAGAATTTAGTACCATATTTGTTTGTATTTGAATAATTATTTTATGTATGTTTATATTTGATTTTCTCCTTTTTATATATACTATCTATGTATTTGGAATCAAATATGATTTTTTGTGTTTCGTATGGTATTTATTTTGGATGGAATTTTTTATTTAAGATCAAGATGACGTTTCGTTTTAAAAATATATGAATATGTAAACTGAATTTGATATTGCATTTAAATTTGTGCATAATAATTATATATATATTTGTATTTGAATCTAAATCATATTCAATCGGAAAATTTATATTATAAGTTACCAAAAAAAAATTTATATTATATAACATGGTTTTAAACATATGAGGTTCAAATCTCGCGAATTATGTGAAAAGGTTAAAATTATTTTTTTTATTCGTTTGAAAATAAATCCAGCCAAGTCGGTTAACGGTCATGGTTCGGAAAAACCCGAATCCGACCCGTGATCCGAGTTCTTAACCAGGTTGCACCCATTGTCGGTTTTATTGATGGCCGGTGGCACGTATGTGTGTGTGTGTTTTTTTCTCTTTCCTTTTAAAATCCATGACATTTTCCATTACTGCAGTCACTCTCGTGAAACCCTAAACCATGCATCAAGAAAGCAGAACATAAGGTAGAGAGGAAAAAGGTCGTTTCTCTCTCGGATTCGAGCCGGGGCGTAAAGGGAGAGGAAACCCTAAATCTGTATCAACAAACCCCCTTCTCCAATCGCGTCTAGGGTTTGCTATCGATACTCGGGAGAATATGGGTAAAGACAATGGGCAGAAGAAGAACAAGAAGAGAAGTGACGACAACCAGAGGACCATCGAGAAGGTGGAAACGCCGGAGCAGAAAACCCTAAACCCGCCGCAGCAAGAAGGGCAAGAAAACGGTATTCTGAACAAGAAAAGGAAACGCCAAGAAGTTTTCCCCTTTGGAAACTACAGAAACTACTATGGTTACCGAGTAAGCCCTCTTTATTTCGGCTTTTTTTCTCTGTTCTGTGAGAAATCGTAGATATTTTGATTCTCCTATTCGCATTTTGGGCGTTTCGCGTGTCTTTTTTCATGCTTCAAGACATTTATTCTTATCAAGCAGACCCAGTTCTTAATCTGATCGTTTCTGGTACTGAGACTGGTGAAATCTAAAATCTGTTTGTTAAACATTGTGTTGGGTTTGTCTCAATGGATCTTTTTCTTAAATCTAAAATTTAGATTCTCCTTTTCGCATTTTTGAGTCAAGTTTCGGTTTTTTTGCGTGTCTTTTTGTAATGCTTTAAGACATTACTTCTTATCAAACAGACCCAGTTCTTAATCTGATTGTTTCTGGTACTGCAATGGTGAAATCTAAAAACTGTTTGTAAAACATTGTGTTCGATTTGTCTCAATGGATTTTTTTTTCTTAATGTGTTTGGGTTTTGACACTGCGTATTTGTGTGTTAGATTAGTCATGATTCAGACGAGGATCCTCGGCTTAAAGTTATGAGGAAGGAATGGTTTGAGGGCAAGGATTGTCTTGACATCGGCTGCAATAGTGGCATCATAACGATCCATATTGGTAATTTGTATGCTAATTGTCCTCCATTCAATTTTTCAGAATTTCCCAAGTCTCTTTTTCCTATAGATGTACATACTATCATGGAAATATGTGTTTATATATGTACTTATGTTTATATTTATCAAATGGTGCTTTATTTGCTATGATAAGCTACTGTAATCGAACTTTAAGATCTTTATGAGTTCTTGGCTACTTGGTTTCATGTATCACAATCTTATCTGCTAAATTGTGATGGGCCATACAAGCAGTTTATGGATTTTAAATGCATATAATCTCAATGTTCTTGTTCCTGAATTGTATGTGCAAAAGTTCTTGTTCGTATATCTGTATAAGTCTAATTACATATTCGATAACCTCTGGTTTACTTGGGTTATTTAATTTTTAGCCTGTCGGTACCTAGATTTTCGAAGGTGTGTACTCTGATATTTGCTTTATTCTGCTGCAGCTAAAAAGTTTCAGTGCCGCAGCATTCTTGGAGTTGACATTGATTCAAGTAAGAACTCCTTGGTCGTATAATATCTTTCGGTTTTCTTTTAACTTCATATCAGAACTGAATGATATTTTTGATGACCAAATCATCATAAAGTTTTGTGAACCTCAAAAGTATTGAGTGACTTCACGAAGTAGCTTGTCATTCTTCTTTATCAAATGCAACATGACAGACTTCCAAAGATGCCAAAATATGAGGAGAAACTATATCGAATTCAATGACTTGATGGGTTTTATGAATTATGATATTCCGAGTTTATTTTTTATGAAGAAGTTATAATCGCCAATGCATTAAATTTTATTCTCTTTGTTTGTAAGGCCGTATTGAGGATGCTTACTGGCACCTTAGGAAGTTTGTGAGAACGCAGCATTCTGCCAAGCGAGGTGAGAAGAAACCAAGTCCGGAGGTTTTAAACAGAGTAAAGAGTTCAGAGGAACCATCTTTGACATTGTCTAGCGCTGAGACAAAGGTGGAGAACCCAAGACATCAAAACCTGTTGGATATTGTCTCTTTTCAGAAAGAGAATATTGTTCAGAGTAGAAATCTCGACGAAAATCGCTACGATACAATTCTTTGGTAAATCCCTCTTTCTGCCTTGTTCCTCATCTGCTTCTATTGTTGGTCTCTGCTTCTTGGAAATGGTTGGGCTAGAGAAGAAGAAATTCGGCATTTTTAAATTGAATTTGTTAATTTCATTTGCTAGAAAAGATATATGAGATTCCATATGTTGTCGGCAAAAGTTTTAGTTGTGATTTCACTAGAGATCTTTGAATGCATGTTTGATTCGTTATAAACTGTGTTTTTTTGGTTGTGTTTACGGATAAAACTGAATTAAAACTATGTTTTTTAGACTTGAATTTAAATTTTTTTGCTCTGGATTTGATGCAGCTTGAGTGTGACGAAATGGGTTCATCTAAACTGGGGTGATGATGGTTTAATCACCTTATTTTCGAAGATTTGGAGGCTCCTCAATCCGGTATTTACAATTTACTTCACCGTTTAAACCCTTTTATTTTTCCGTGTGCTAATGACATTTCGTCTGCGTTTCAGGGAGGCACTCTTATACTGGAACCTCAGCCTTGGAAATCTTATGAAAACAACCGCCGTGTCACTGAGGTGCGTATCCACCTAAAGATTGAATCTTTTTTTTATATTTATCACATAGGTCGATGCTCCTATAATGGTGGATGTGCATTTTCTAAATTTCCTGTGCAGACAATTGCCATGAATTACCGGAAGATTACTATACGTCCAGAGCTTTTCCAAGAAATTCTTCTTGATAAGGTATTTTGATTTCTCCATTTGTTTTTTCTGATATATTTGGTGCAAGACGTGAATTGATCAAAATCTTCTATAGTTGGTTCCGGATTATAATATTTCTATCTTATGAAATCCACGATTTTGGTGAAGAACATCAAGAAAACAACTTGCCTTTGTTTTCCTGTGATGTCTTGTGGCTGCTGTAAGAAGGGCGTGTTTGCGGTTTTGGATCATTGCCTACCAGTGTTTTCGTTAATCCCTTCTTCTTCTTCTTCGTTTTTTCTTTGGGTCTCAGATCGGGTTTAGAACTGTGGAAGATCTGACGTCGAGCTTGTCGGGTGCTAACAAAGGATTTGACAGACAGATTCTTGCATTCCAAAAATAACTCAGGTGCGAATCATGCAAGAGCAAGTTAATTTTTTTCACAGAGCTTCGGTGTTCTTTTTTCTCGTTTTTCAGAAGCATTCTGTAAGCACAAAACATATATATAGCATTTGACATCTAATTATATATAATGGTATGGTTTTGTGTGAAGATTTGGTCTTATTAGCTGCAAATTGCAATGGGATATGTATACGAGGAATTTGTGTGTTACTTTTGCTCGTGGGGTTTTATACCACCAAAGTCTATGAAAAATGTGAAGTTTTAAGGGTCATTTTTTTGTTGTTGGTTCCTAATCATTGGGGTTGGGGTTATTACTGTAAGATCTTAGATTCTATAGAGGTGATAGAAGAAGTACCATCCTCAGTTAGGCTTGATAACTTAAGATATCTATATATGAGTAATACCAACATCAAGAGTTTTCCGGATTTATTCCAATGCTTTCCAAACTTGCTTGACCTTAGCGTTGATGGTTGCAAGAACCTTGAAATGCTGCCAGAGCTCCCTCGTTCACTCGAAGGCCTCAATGCCGATGATTGCCATTCCCTTAAGAAGATATCAGGTGGCATATTCAATCCAAATTCCGTTGTCACATTCGCAAACTGCGTGAATTTGGATGAAACATCTGTGCAAGATGTCATCCAACGGTGGAGTTGTGAATTGGTAGTGTTGCCAGGTGAAAAAGTGCCGCCATACTTTGATCACCGGAGTAGTGGAAGTTCTCTAACCGTCAAGTTGGGCGAGATGCCACGTTCTCCTCTCTTGGTATTTGAGCCATGCATTCTGCTTGCTGACCAGGAATGGTGTTATGGTGAAGTGCGGCTAGACTGTTGCCTCAGAGGCAGTCATGGGGTTATCATTCGAAAGAGCTTTCGTTGGAACACACATGGAAGTCTTTCAATTGTACCGAATCATCTCTGTATACTTGGCTGTGCCTTGCTACACAAAGCCGACAATCCCGCAGCTGAACTACCCTTCAACCATGTCGTGTTCAAATTCCATGCCTCCCATGCCGTCGACATAAAAGAATGTGGTGTACGGCTCTTTGAACACAGCACAATACCTCCGGATGAGTGGCTTATCCAACCATTTAATTGCGGAGAGCCTATAAGCATAAGCAGCGACCGGGAAACAAGCAATGAGGCTGGACATAGCGAAGCGTCGGAAGACTCTGAAAGTGCATACGATGGTGGTGATGGCTTTCAAACTGAAAATGATGAGTCAATGCCGAGGAAGCGAACAGGAATCGGTCCATGAATATGAATACAACGAAGAGAGGCAAAGAGGGATTGCGGTGGTAGTGATTAATATTCATTTTTTCTAATTTTTTTATTTAACTCACATTAAAATTCATTTTCTAAAAAAAACTGCCTTCGTGCCTTGTATTAGTTAAATGTGTATCTTAGTAAACTAATTGTAACTTATTCTACAAAATGCAAATTCAAAGATCAATACTACAGCTTCTACAAATCTGAGAGTATGAATCTAAGATTAACAACTAGGGATAGAAATAGTAAAATTAGAAAAGATGTGAAAAAAAATAAAAGAACTGTCAACCTAATTGTAAAAGTATTTGGCGAACATTTTAGTACATTGCGTTGTTCAAACAAACCCAAAATTATTTTTTCGATTTAATTGGTGGGCCCAAGAATTGCAAAAACGAATATAGGGTGAATAAGGGCAAGAAAAAGACGGGACTGATGGTGGTCAGTCTTGCCCTTGACACTTGTAACTATGGCATGTGATTCAGTGTGCCACAAACAGTAAATATCTCAATACATGGAGGGCATTTCGGGGATCTAAGTCGAATTTTGATGCCGCAAAACTCTCCAATGATGACGCACCCACTGGTCTCTGTCGTCTACAAGGAGCTTGAATCTCTCCGTCGGTGAGCTCAGGCAAACATTTCTTCTTCTAGAACTTTTTCCCGGAAAAATCTACTCTTTCTCGGAAAACGAATCATATGGGTCGTCTAGAAAACGCTCCAGTCATGGATCATTCGCCGAAAAATGAAGGAAAAATGCTGTGTGTTTTCTTGTTTGAATTTGTTTTTTTTTTCTCTCGCTGTAATTGTTAATCAGAGTATCACCAATGTGTTCATGAACATCGATCATCCTTCTTTGACCTTGGAACTAAATTTATTTTCTTGAATAAACTCTGCATGGCTTATTTTCTTCTTGGCATGTGCTCTAGGAAATATTTTTTTATTAGTGATAATTGGAAAAATACATCATAATATATAACAAAATACTACAGAATATTCTAGGCATAATATCTAGGGTAAATCATAATCATATCAATGATAATATTATAATAATAATATCTTTCTATATACCTCTCAAGATGAATCATCTATGATGAATTCAATCTTGTTATATAAAAACTGATCGTATTGAACGAATCATCTTCCATATGGTGGTGTAGTTCAGACTTGAGTCGGTGTTGCTTGATAACGTTTGAAGAGTTTGAGAGTTGTATTTTTAGAGGCTATATGATATGGCACGAAATAATCCCCAAAAAAAAATGGCCGCAAACAAACATCAACCCAAGTTGCATATTTTAAAAATATATTTCCCCGTTGAGTTACTAGCTATAAAACGTTTTGTCTCACGTAGTGGTTCGATGACGATTTCTAAAGTCGTAGGGAAAACGCGTTTTGCCCGAACGTGCAAACAAACATCAACCCAAGTTTCATATTTTAAAAATAAAGTCGACGGACAAACCAAGGTGTGTTATAAATCACCAATCCACGCGAAGTTTTTCTGGGTCGTTAGAAAACGAGTCTAACGAGCTGAGCCCAAAACGATACGAACCAAATGAGTCGAGCCCAAAATGATCCGAGTTGGCTCATTTGACACCCTATGAAAGTGCAGACGGCAGTGATCAAAATTCGTTTTTTCTAATTTTTTATTTAACTCGCATTAGAAAAATTCATTTTCTAAAAAAAAATGTTGCCTTGTATTAGTTAAATGCGGATATCAGTAGTCTTGCAAGTACATTTCAAATTTTGGTTTGGTTCTGGTGTTGCTACTGCTAAAATCTATATGGTGAATATTTTGGAATCTATGTGGTGAATATTTTGAAATGTTTTTTTAATAAACAAAGTAAATTCGAATTAAACTGATTGTAACTTAGGCCTTGAATGTAAATATTAAAATCTAAAAAGTAAAAAATTTGACAATCAAGTTTTTATAAAAATGATTTTCCAAAAAAACTAAAAACTCCAATTTTTTAAATTTACAAAAACTGAAATTCAAAAATAAAAAATTAAAACCAAAAACTCAAATTAAAAGGGATAGAAATGGTAGAATGAGAAAAATAAAATAAAATAACTGTCAACCTAATGTTATGGGCTAACATTTTAGGACACGGCCTTATTCAAAATTATTTCTCGATTCAATTGGTGGGCCCTTGCTAGGCCCAAGAATTGCATAAACGAATATAGTGACTGACAACAAGGACTAGGAAAAGACGGGAATGATAGTAGTCGGTCTTGCCCTTTAACTACTTGTAAGGAAGCAGGTGACTCAGTGTGGCCCAAATAGTAAATATCTCAATACATGGAGGGCATTTCGGGGATCTTTTTCTGCTTACGCTTCGGACTTTTTTCCCGGTAAAATCTACTCTTTCTGGGAAAACGAATCATGGGTCGTATAAAAAACGCTCCTAATCATGGACTTGAGGGTCCATTTGCTGCTTTGTGGAAATTTCAAAGCATCTTTTCTCGCGTGGTGAAGAAGAAAGAAGACGTTTTTGCCAAATTAATATTTAACAAATCCGATGGACTTCTGTTCCATGAAAACAAGAGTGTGTAACGTGATTCTGTTCCATGGACTTCTGTTGCTGTAATAAAATTGTTTGAGAGGAAGACGAGAAGTGTATGTACGTGTCGTTGTGTACTCTGTTTTCTGTCGCAAAACAGAGGAACTTATCAATTGAATGTTTTTATACGTTTGTCTCCAGAGGAATTTACGAGTTCAACAAAAATGATTACAGTTCGAAGAGAATCGAGATTCAATGTTTGAGGTACGTAAAATTGTCCAATTTCAGGAATCTGACGTCACGTTTGGATCTGTTGAATTTTTCAGACCAATTGTCGGTCGGAAAGTTTCAACGATGATCAAGACTCGTGTTTGAAAAGTTACACCCATAAATTTCAACGATGATCAAGACTATTGGCAAAGACTTATTTTTTGTTTATTCAAATTTTCTCGATTTCTTTAATTATGCTTTGATAATTCCAAATTTCCACATCCATTTTTTTTTATTAGCTATTCCGTCCATTAATACATCATAGATACCCATAGTCGTGTTCTCTCATATACGTATTCTTAATTCCCTGCGTATTTTTTCAAAGCTAATTTTCCAAGAAGATATTATGAGGGTCCATTCGAAATTCCCAACATCTCCCGTAATGAAGACGAAGACAAAAATCAACATATGTTCATAAATATAATTTTATATAAAAAATTCAATGTAAAATGTGCATAATTATTAAAAATGTTATAAAAGGGTAATTATAGTATGAGGTGAGCTATGGATTTGTGAGTTATTTTAGCCCAAAGTTCATTTTAAGTAACGATTTACAAAAATAAAGAATTGTTTTCTCTCTTCTATCATATCTCCGATGTCTGCTTCATCTCCTTCGCCTCGTCACTGGAGATTCGACGTCTTCCCAAGCTTCAGAGGGGAAGATGTTCGCCAAAATTTTCTCAGCCACTTGCTCAAGGAGTTCAAAAGCAAGGGCATCGTCTCTTACATAGACGAAAACATTGAGAGAAGCCACACGATCGGCCCCGACCTCACAAGGGCCATAAGAGAATCAAGGATTTCTGTCGTTATTCTCTCACCGAACTATGCTTCTTCGAGGTGGTGCTTGGACGAACTTTTGGAGATTATGAAGTGCCGTCGAGAAACAGGGTTGATCGTGATGCCTGTCTTCTACAACTTGGATCCATCCCATGTCAAAAACCAAATCGAAGCATTCGGTGATGGTTTCAATAGGGCTTGCGGTCGGGAAACGGAGGAGGAGAAACAGATATGGATCGAAGCGCTGAAGCAAGTAGGCGAAATCGTCGGCACACATTCCGCGAACTGGTTTGGTTTTACAATTCATACTTGATTTCTTAATTGATTTGTATCTCTGATGTATATCAATCACATCTAATATTTATAATCTCTTCATATCAATGCCAATTTTTGGGATTCCATATCTATCATCACTAATCTTTCACTTTCTTATTTCTAGGGAGAGTGAAGCGGATATGGTCGAACAAATCGCCAGAGATGTCTCCAAAGAACTCAATGCTACTCCATCCAGGGATTTTGATGGCTTGATCGGAATTGATGTTCATATGGAGAGATTGATCTCTCTGCTACGCCTTGAGAAAAACGATGTGAAGATGGTAGGGATTTGGGGTCCTCCTGGTATCGGTAAGACTACCATTGCTAGAGCTTTACACGCTCGGCTCTCCAAGTACTTCCCACTTAGCGTTTTCATGGAGAATGTTAGGGGAAACTATAGAACATCTTGTCGGGACGAGTATACCTCAAAGTTGGATTTGCAGAAACAGTTTCTGTCTCAAATTTTCAACCAAAAGGATATGGTAATAAGCCATTCAGGTGTCATAAAAGATAGACTGCAAAGTCGAAAAGTGCTTATCATTCTTGATGATGTGAACAAGCTAGAGCAGTTAGAAGCTTTAACGAATGGGCCTCAATGGTTTGGTCTCGGAAGTAGGATTATCTTGACAACACAAGATAAAAATCTTCTGAATGCACATGATATCGACCACATATACAAGGTGAATTTTCCATCTAGAGAAGAGGCGCTTCAAATCTTTTATAGCAAAGCTTTCAAAAACGATTCCACAACACAAGGTTTTATGGAGCTATCAATCGAAGTAGTGGAGCATGTTGGCCGCCTTCCATTGGGACTCCGTGTTATGGGTTCGTATATGCGTGGGAAGAGCAAGGATAGGTGGATAAGCGAATTGGCTAGACTCAAAACAAGACTCAAAGGAGAAATTCACGAAGTACTGAGAGTGAGCTATGACGACTTGGAACCAAATGAGCAAGTCGTATTTCTTCACATCGCATGTATGTTCAACCGTAAGGGTATTGATTACGTGACGCAGATGATTGGCAATGATGAATTAGATGTCGGCCTTAGCCTCGACATCATGGCAGATAAGTCTCTCATAGATGTATCCACCCGTAGACAAGTAACAATGCATTGTTTGTTGGAGCAAATGGGTAGAGAGATCGTTCAAAAACAGTCCGAGTATGAACCTGGAAAACGACAATTCTTATTAAACGTTGAGGAGATTTGCGATGTGCTTGCCAATGAAACAGTAAATTTTGACAAACTCTATTTATGCGTTGACTACAAGTTCAGATATGACTAATGCAAGACGGTTTTCTTTCTTTCGCTATTTCTCAGGGCACAAGGGTTGTGTTAGGCATGTCTTTAGATCTATCTGCAATCACATATGATGTGTTTCTCAGCGAAACAGTCTTCCAAAAGATGATGAATCTCAGATTCCTAAGGTTCTACAAGAAGGGACTTGAAAACAGATTGCATTTTCCTCAAGGGCTGGAGTATCTTCCTCGCCTTTGGTCATTACATTGGGAGGGATACCCGTTAAAATATATTCCTCGTAAGTTTCGTTCTGAGTGTCTCGTCGAACTCAACATGACAGATGGCCGGCTTGAGAAGCTATGGGAAGGAGTTCAGGTTAGATCATCGTCGCTTCCTGTTTGGCTATTTTTGTTAAATTTAACATTCTATTACAGTTATAAGTATATATATATATATATATATCTATATATATATATATTTATATACATGTTTATTACATTATATGTATATGTGTATACTTCGTTGTTTTTGGAAAATTTGTGGCTACTGATTTTATTTTTGTTACTTATTCCTAACATTTTTTGAACTTATCTTGTTATAGTTTTTTAATAGTCATGTTTTATTTTTCGATCAGCAATTAGGAAGTCTCAAAATCATGAATTTGGGATGGTCCAGAGAATTGAAAGAGATTCCAGATCTTTCAAATGCCACAAATCTCGAGAGATTGATACTTAATGGTTGCACAAGTCTGGTCACAGTGCCTTCCTCTATTGGTAAGCTTCGGAAGCTGAACTACTTGAACATGTCTCACTGTTGGAGCCTAGAGTCTCTTCCTTCCTTAATCAACTTGGAATCTCTCACTCGCATTGTTCTGGACGGTTGCCGACGATTGAAAACATTTCCAGAAATATCTAACAAGGTAGAAGATCTCCGGCTGAGCAACACCAGAATAGAAGAAGTAGCATCGTCGGTTAAGCTTGATAACTTGAGAGATCTATATATGGAAAAAGCCGACATCAGGGGTTTTCCGGATTTATCCCAGTGCTTTCCTAATTTGGAGGATCTTATTCTTGATGGTTGCGTGAACCTCGAAATGCTGCCAGAGTTCCCTCGTTCACTTGGATACCTCGATGCCCGTGGTTGTCATTCACTTAAGAAGTTATCAGCAAGAGGCTTTTTCAATCCAAAATCCGTTGCCAAGTTGGCGAACTGCGTGAATTTGGATGAAAAATCTGTGCAAAATGTCATCCAACAATGGAGATGTTACTACATAATCTTGTCAGGTGAAAAAGTGCCACCATACTTTGATCACCGGAGTCGTGGAGGTTCCCTAACCGTCGACTTGGGCAAGATGTCACCTTCTCCTCTCTTGGTATTTAAGGCATGCTTTGTGCTTGATGACCTTGAAGATTGGGGTTATGGTGACGTGCGGCTAGCCTGTTACCTCAAAGGAAGTGACGGAGTTATCATTGAAAAGAGCTATGAATGGTTCTTTGGGGACTGTATTCAATTTCGTCAGAACCATCTGTGTATACTTGGCTATGCATTGCTACACAAAGACGACAATCCTGCAGCCGAACTGCCCTTCAACCATGTCGTTCTCAAATTCAATGTACGATTTGACGGATCCGAGGTCGAGATAAAGGGATGTGGTGTACGACTCTTTGACCACAACACAATCCCTCCGGATGAGTGGTTGTTCCAACCATATTCTTGCAAAGGGATTCATGTACCGGCAAGCATAAGCAGCGGCGAATAAAACAAGCGATGAATCTTGACACAGCGAAGCGGGAGACTCTTGAATGTTAAGATGCTGCTACTTGCTAGTGACGGATTTCAAACTGAAAACGATGGATCAATGAAAAACGAAGAGGATGGCAAAGGGGTATAGTGATGGATGCTACCAAAGACTATGAAAGAGCAGACGACGGCAGTGATCAAAATTCATTTTTTTCTAATTTTTTATTTAACTCGCATTAAAATTCATTTTCTAAAAACAATGTTGCCTTGTATTAGTTAAATGTGGATATTAGTGGTCTTGCAAGTACATTGCAAATTTTGGTTTGGTCCTGGTGTTGCTACTGCTAAAATCTGAGGTGAATATTTCTTTAATAAAAATAAATCAATCGAATTAAAGTGATTGTAGGGCTTGAATGTAAATGATTTTCGGGGTTTTAAAATCTAAAAACAAAAAAAAATTCACAAAAATGTTTTGTTAAAAAATCAACTAAAAACTAAAAAACTCCCTTTTTTTATTTACAAAAACCAAAATCTAAAAAATAAAAATCAAAAACTAAAAGCAAAAATTTAAATATAAAAATCACTACTATTCAAAACATTATTCTACAAAATGCAAATACAAAGATCAATACTATAGCAAGGGATAGAAGTAGTAAAATCAGGAAGAAAAAAAATAAAAAAGTTTAGTTAAAAAATCAACTAAAAATGGTTATGGGCTAACATTTTAGGACACGGCCTTATTCAAAATTATTTTTCAAGTTAATTGGTGGGCCCTTGGTAGGCCCAAGAATTGCAAAACGAATATAGTAGACTGAAAACAAGGACAAGGAAAAGACGGGAATGATAGTAGTCGGTCTTGCCCTTTAACTACTTGTAAGGAAGGCAGGTGACTCAGTGTGGCCCAAATAGTAAATATCTCAATACACGGAGGGCGTTTCGGGGATCTTCTTCTGCTTACTGGCATCGGACTTTTTCCCGGAAAAATCTACTCTTTTTCTGGGAAAACGAATCATGGGTCGTCTAAAAAACGCTCCTAATCATGGACTTGAGGGTCCATTAGCTAGCTGCTTTGTGGAAATTTCAAAGCATCTTTCCTCGCGTGGTGAAGAAGAAAGGAGACGTTTTTGCCAAAGTAATATTTAACAAATCCGATGGAAATTTCCCACAAAGTAATATTCCATATCCACTTCTTGTCTTCACCTTGGTAGGCCCCGGCCAAAACCCAACAAGAGAATAATTGGATCCATTTAAGGGTTATTAATGATGCTAATAATCAACATCGATCATCCTTCTTTGACCTTGGAAAACGTACAACTTACCCCATGCTTTTCGCCAGAATCTTCGGTAATTAGTTTAGTTTATTCTTAATCGTGATTAATTTTGTTTGGATTGGTAAATGGTTTTAAAAATCCCCTCTGTGTAATTTTTTAAATTATATTTCCCGGTTGAGCTGTCACTACAAAACGTTTTCTCTCACTTCCGGGTTCGATGACGATTTCTAAAGTCGTAGGGAGAACGCGTTTTGCCCTAACGTGCAAACAAAACATCAACCCCAATTTGCATATTTTAAAAATAAAGAAAAAGCTCTCTTCTATCATACCTCTCCAATGGCGGCTTCATCTTCGTCTTCCTCGCCTTGTAATCGGAGATACGACGTCTTCCCAAGCTTCAGAGGGGAAGACGTTCGCAAAAACTTCCTCAGCCACTTGCTCAAGGAGTTGAGAAGCAAGGGCATCGTATGTTACATAGACGAAGACACTGAGAGAAGCCACACGATCGCCCCCGAACTCATGCGAGCCATAAGGGAATCGATGATTTCTGTCGTTGTTCTCTCCCCCAACTATGCTTCTTCGAGCTGGTGCTTGGACGAACTTGTGGAGATTATGAAGTGCCACCGAGTAGCAGGGTTGATCGTGATGCCTGTCTTCTACGACTTGGATCCATCCAACGTCAGACACCAAACCGGACTATTCGGTGATGGTTTCAAGAGATCTTGCGGTCGGAAAAACGAGGAGGAGAAACAGATATGGATCCAAGCCTTGAAGGAAGTAGCGGATATCGTCGGCATGCATTCCACAGACTGGTTAGGTTTTACATTTCATATTTGATTTATACCAATCACATCTAGTATTTATAATCTCACTTTCTTATTTCCAGCAAGAGTGAAGCGGCTATGGTCGAACAAATTGCCAAAGATATCTCCAAAAAGCTCAATGCTACGCCATCCCGGGACTTTGATGGCTTGATCGGAATCGATGTTCATGTGGAGAGATTGATCTCGCTGCTACGCCCTGAGGAAAACGATGTGAAGATGGTTGGGATTTGGGGTCCTCCTGGTATCGGTAAGACTACCATTGCTAGAGCTTTACACGCTCGACTCTCTGAGGCATTCCCACTTAGCGTTTTCGTGGAGAACGTTAGGGAAAACTACAGAAGGTGTTGTCGGGATGAGTGTGCCTCAAAGCGGGATTTACAGAAACAATTTCTGTCTCAAATTTTCAACCAAAAGGATATTGTAATACGTCATTCTTCAAGCGTCATAAAAGATTGGCTGCAAAGTCGAAAGGTGCTCATCATTCTTGATGATGTGAACAAGCTCGCTCAGTTACAAGCTTTAGTTGATGAACCCCAATGGTTTGGTCCCGGTAGTAGGATTATCGTGACAACTCAAGATAAAAGTCTTCTGAGTGCGCATGATATCGACCACATATACAAGGTAAATCTTCCATCCAGAGAAGAGGCGCTTCAAATCTTTTCTTTCTATGCTTTCAAAAGCAAGTCCACGCGACAAGATTTTTTGGAGCTATCAGTTGAAGTAGTGGAGCTTGCCGGTCAGCTTCCATTGGGACTCCGTGTTCTGGGTTCATATATGCGTGGGAAGAGCTATGATAGGTGGATAAGAGAAATAGCAAGACTCAGAACAAGACTCAACGGAGAAATTCAACAAGTACTGAGAGTGAGCTATGACGATTTGGTACCAAACGAGCAAGCCGTATTTCTTCACATCGCATGTATGTTCAACGGTGAGGGCATTGATTACGTGACGCAGATGATTGGCAACGGCGAATTAGACGTCGGCCTTAGCCTCGACATCATGTTAGAAAAGTCTCTCGTAGATATATCCATCTATGGACAAGTAACAATGCATTATTTGTTGGAGCAAATGGGTAGAGAGATTGTTCGTCAACAATCCGAGAACGAACCTGGAAAGCGACAATTTTTGTTAAAAGCTGAGGAGATTTGCCATGTACTTGCCGATGAAACAGTAAGTTTTGAGAAAGTCTATTTATACATTGATTACAAATTCACATTTGGCTAATGCAAGGCAACTTCTTTCCTTTACTTTTTCTTAGGGCACATGGGCTGTGTTAGGCCTGTCTTTAGATCAATCTGCAATCAAATATGATTTGTTTCTAAGCGAAACAGCCTTCCAAAGGATGAAGAATCTCAGATTCCTAAGGTTATACGTGAATGGAGTTAAGAATAGAATGCATTTTCATCGAGGAATGGAGTATCTACCTCCACTTAGGTTATTGCATTGGGAGGGATACCCGTTGAAATATATTCCTCGAAGGTTTCGGTCTGAGTGTCTCGTCGAACTCAGGATGGAAGGTAGCCGGCTCGAGAAGCTATGGGAAGGAGTTCAGGTTAGGTCGTCCTCGCTTCTTGCCTTTTTTATCATGATCTCTCTTTTTTATTCCTTCAATAGTAATATATTTTTACATAAATAGTTTCTCTGTCAAAACTCACCCATTTTACTCTTTTCCAACCCAATAAAAAGATTTCACTACTGAAATTTCAAGCAGTAAATAATAACCCATAAAAAACTTCGACGAACGAAAGGTTGTCATGAGACACGTGAATTCTATAAAATTCTAATATAAATACGATTTTTTTGTTGAGAAATGCCAAACCACGAAATTTTGTGTTTCGTTATTAAGAATATAACTGAATAGGATCTAGAAACATGTATCAATTCTATTACCGTTATAAGTGTGCGTGGTATTTGATGAAGCTTTTATGAAATATTTATCAGGACTTAAAGTTATAATGTTTTAGGTTTATAGTATTTGAAGTATTTTGAAAATATATATAATTGCAAAGATGTTAGCGTTATACTTTCGGTAAACCATTTTTATGTTTACACATGTTACACAAATATCATATATAAAAATATATAACTTTGGGACAATAGTTTCAGAAGCTGGAAATTTCAAGAAGCCTTTCACTTTTCTTTTTTTTTGAACTTATCTTTTGGTATATAGTTTTTTAATAGTCAAGTTTTTTTTGGGTTTATTATATGTTCAGCAATTAGGAAATCTCAAATTCATGGATTTGAGAGGCTCCGGAGATTTGAAAGAGGTTCCAGATCTTTCAAATGCCACAAATCTCGAGAGATTGTTACTTGCTTTCTGTAAAAGTCTGGTGACACTTCCTCCCTCTACCGGTAAGCTTCAGAAGCTGAAGGAATTGGACCTGTGTTGGTGTTGGAGCCTAGAGACTCTTCCTACCGGAATCAACTTGGAGTCTCTCACTGAGATTTTTCTGTCTAATTGTCCCCGATTGAAAAAATTTCCAGAAATATCTAATAAGGTAAGAATTCTCACTGTAGACGAAACCGGGATAGAAGAAGTACCAGCCTCAGTTAGGCTTCCTAACTTAACATCTCTAAGTATGAGAAATACCGACATCAAGGGTTTTCCGGATTTAATCCAATGCTTTCCTAATTTGGAGAATCTTTATCTTGGTGGTTGCAAGAAACTTGAAATGCTACCAGAGATCCCACGTTCACTTGGATACCTCCATGCCGATGATTGTCATTCACTTAAGAAGTTATCATCAGGAAGCTTTTTCAATCCAAAATCCCGAATCAGGTTTACGGGGTGCGTGAATTTGGACGAAACATCTGTGAAAGATGTCATCCAAGGATGGAGTTGTGGATCGGTAGTGTTGCCAGGTGAAGAAGTGCCGCCATACTTCGGTCACCGGAGTAGTGGAAGTTCCCTAACCGTTAGCTTGGGCGAGATGTCACGTTCTCCTCTCTTGGTATTTCAGCCATGCCTTCTGCTTGCTGATGAAGATAATGGTGAAGATTGGTATGCTGATGAACTGGGGGTAGAGTGTCGCTTCACAGGCAGTGACGGAGTTATAATTCAAAAGAACTATCATTGGAGTGTAGGGATGGTTTCATTTTCTTCGCGTCGACATCTGTGTATACTTACACCTTTCTTGCTACACAAAGACAGCAATCCTGCAGACGAACTGCCCTACGGCGATGTTGTGTTCAAATTCAGCTGTCACAGATGCTTGTATAAAGTATTTGACGCCAAGATAAAGGGATGTGGTGTACGACTCTTTGACCACAACACAATCCCTCCGGATGAGTCGCTGTTGCAACCATATTCTTGCAACAGGCTTCATGTACCGGTAAGCATAAGCAGCGGCGAGGAAACGAGCAATGAAGCTGGACATAGCGAAGCTTCAAAAGACTCTGAAAGTGAAGACGTACGATGGCAGTGATGGCTTTCAAACTGATGATGATGGCGAGTCAATGCCGAGGAAGCGAACGAGAATCGGTCCATGAATATGAATACAACGAAGAGGGATAGTGATGAATGCCACCAAAGACGATGGTAGTGATTAAAATTCATTTTTTCTAATTTTTTATTTATTTAACTCACATTGAAATTCATTTTCAAAAAAAAAAAAAAAAGTGCCTTGTGTTAGTTAAATGTGAATCTTTGTAGTCTTGCAAGTACATTGCAAATTTTGGGTTGGTTTCGGTGTTTACTAGTGCTAAAATCCACGGATGAATATTTTGGAATGCTTTTTTTTAATTGAAAAAGATAAAATTTAAAGTGAATTCGAATTAAACTGATTGTAACTTATTCCAAAAACTGCAAATACAAAGATCAATACCATAGCTTCTAAAAATCTTAGAGTTTGAATCTAAGATTTAGAGCTAGGTATAGAAATAGTAGAATTAGAAAAAATGTGAAGAAAAAAAAAGAACTGTCCACCGAATGTCAAAGTTTTTGGGGAACATTTTAGGACATGGCATTATTCCAGCCAAAATTGTTTTCGATTTAATTGGTGGGCCCAAGAATGGCAAAAAAACGAATATAGGAGTAGACAAGGGATGGATAAGGGCAAGAGAAAGACGGGACTGATGGTGGTCGGTCTTGCCCTTGACACTTGTAACTATAACATGTGGTTCAGTGTGCCACAAACGGTAAATATCTCAATACATGTAGGGCATTTCGGGGATCTAAGTCGAATTCCTACTTAATTGATGTCGCAAACCGCTCCAATGACGACGGACCCGTTGGTCTCTGTCATCTACAAGGAGCTTGAATCTCTCCGTCGGTGAGCTCAGGCAAACATTTCTTCTTCTGCTTAGTCGTATCGGACTTTTTCCCGGAAAAATCTACTCTCTTTCTGGGGAAACGAATCATGGGTCGTCTAAAAAACGCTCCTATCATGGATTCTTCGCCGATGAGTGGAGGAAAAATGCTGTCTTTTTCTTGTTTGAATTTGTTTTTTTTTTTTTTTGTCTCTGTAATAGTTCATCAGAGTATCACAAACGTGATCATCAACACATTGTGTTTGGTTTTCGGGTAAACCTTTCTTTTTTCTTTTTAATTGATGTCGGTTTCTCGTCCATCACTTCAATACCTAATTATTTGTCCAGCATTGTTAATTTGGTGGGTAAGATATCTCGATTTCAGTTTCTAATCAATTGAGCATAAATGGTTGTTAAATCTTCGGAAATCTTGCTTCTTTTTTCAATCTTTGACTATTTTTAACCTTTTTGGTTTATAGGATGGAGCGGAAATTTCATGCTGCTGGGTATCTTGATTCTCTCTGAGTTCTTGGAATCTCTCAGGGATAACGAAATTGATTCATAGATGGTCAAGTTGATCCAAATTTTGGATTTTTATTGTTCCAATTTCTGTCTGCAATGAAGATGCGTAACCCTTTCGGGAGGTTTTGTAATGTTGAAATCCGCAGACTGTTGTGGATCATCATTGTCACAGTTAGTGTTCTCCTTGTTGTTGTCCATTGCTTTGGTCTTCCCTGTTGCAAATCTTTGTCTCGCCAATCTCCAGATAATGTTTCGGCCATCATTGTTGCAAGCGATGTGGCTGTTTCCGGTGATTTTGGAGGAACTGAAAGCTCAGTATCCAAAATAATGAATTATACCAATATCTCTGATGTTGGAGAGGATGATGAGTATGAAGAGGAAGAATACAATGAAGGAGAAAAGGAGAAGAAAAGAGCTTTCTCGTTGGAGGCAGAAGCTGATTCTGGAAGAATCAATGAAGGAAAAAAGCTAAATTTTTCTGTCAATATCGGAACAAATGTATCGTGGGGAAGTAGTAAAGGAGCCATTGATAGTACAGTTGCAAATTCAAACAAGTCTCTGGTTGTGCAGAGCAAAGTTATGAGTTCTGTGATATCGATATCTGAGATGAACTCGATGTTAGTCCGGAGTCTTTCTTCTTCTCATTCACAGGTAAGAAAAAGTTTCCATTTAGGGTATTGGGAAAGCAAATAAGCTGCAAGGTTTTGACTTTGAAATTTCGGTTTTTACATCCATTCCAGCGGCCTCGATGGTCATCTGCTCGCCACTCTGAGCTGTTGTCTGCAAAATCCCAGATCGAGAATGCTCCTATTGTGAGGGACACTCCAGGACTTGACCCTTCAGTGTACCGAAATATCTCCAAGTTTTATAGGTAACAACTTTGCAATTCTGAAACTGTGTCCAGGTTAGGTTATTCATTTCGTTCTTTTACATCCTCTAGAAAAATTGGAACCTTACGATTAAGTTTTTGTTGATTGAATTACTGGAAGTGTGGTTTTATGTAGGAGTTACGAGTTGATGGAGCGGAAACTCAGAGTTTACGTGTACAAGGAAGGAGAGAAGCCGATATTCCATAAGCCAAAGCCCCGAGGGATTTATGCCTCGGAAGGTTGGTTCTTGAAACTCATGGAAGGAAACAAGAAGTTTACGGTTAGAGATCCCCGAAAGGCTCATTTGTTTTACATGCCCGTTAGCATAAGAATGCTAAGGATGGCCTTAGGACGAGATTTTCAGACACCAAAGGAACTATCAGACTACTTGAACAAGTATGTCAGTTTAATAGCAGGAAAGTACAAGTTTTGGAACAGAACTGGCGGAGCAGATCATTTCCTTGTCGCTTGCCATGACTGGGTACTACCCGTTTCTATTTTTGAATGATCTTCGCATCAAATTTGATGTTCGGGAACTTAGCTCTTTGCCATATAGGCTGAAATATGACTTGCAAATGTTTAGGAAACTGAATGAGCTTTTCATATGGATTTTGCAGGGAAATAAACTGACGAAAAAACCGATGAAGAACACTATCCGATCTCTTTGCAATGCTAACATTGCCCAAGGCTTCAGAATTTGGAAGGACACATCATTACCGGTCACATACATACGCTCTGCCGAGGCTCCTCTCGAGTATGTAGGAGGAAAACCGCGGTCGGAAAGACAGATTCTTGCATTTTTCGCAGGAAGCATGCACGGATATCTCCGTCCTATTCTTCTCCGATATTGGGAGAACAAAGAACCTGACATGAAGATTTTCGGTCCAATGCCTCGTGACCCCGAAAGCAAAAAACAGTACCGAGAGTACATGAAGGGCAGCAGGTACGATCAGGAAAAAAGCTTGAGCCCTAACATCATTTCGATGGGTTTTATCCGTACACATGTTCTGATTCTGCAATATCTTTCTACAGGTACTGTATTTGTGCGAGGGGATACGAAGTTCACACGCCTAGGGTCGTCGAGGCTATAGCTCACGAGTGCGTTCCCGTGATTATTTCGGACAATTACGTTCCACCCTTTTTCGAGGTGTTGAACTGGGAGACATTCTCGGTGTTTGTTGAGGAGAAAGACGTACCGAATCTGAGGAATATTCTGCTGTCGATTCCCGAGGAGAAATATCTTAAGATGCAAGCAAGGGTTAAAATGGTGCAGAAGCATTTCTTGTGGCACAAGAAACCTGTGAAGTACGACCTTTTTCACTTGATCCTGCATTCGATTTGGTACAACCGGGTTTATACGATTAAACCCAGATAAAAAAAAAAAAACATCCTTCACAAGTGTCCGTTAAGGATAAATGATTTTCAGAAGCCGTTGTCTTCCTCTTGATTCTGTATATAGATCACCGAGACTCACCTAGCTGGTAGATCAAATAAGATTTGGGTCTGTAGCTATGGATTTAGCAATCTTTCTGGCCACAGATTAAAGGTTCTAGAGCTGAAGAAATCAATGTTTAGATTTTGCTAATATTCATTCATTACTTTACTCTTATCCAAAAAATGTTATGTTGATTTTATAAAAATTAATTTGGTAAAACCCATAAATATTTCTAATCTTTTAAAATGGTAGAAAATTAATTCCTAACTTTTACAAATTTATTTCCAAACTCATAAAATGTATCTTTATAATCTATGAATTTACAAAACATGTCATTATAACTTACAAAATCTGCCATTATAACTACCAAACTAATTTATGAATTACCATCATTGAGATTTTTTCTATTACTAATTAATTTTATATACGTATTTTTTTCTGCATCAAAGTAAAAATCTCATATTCTCCAACTAATTTTCGTTCTTATTTCCTATATCAATTTTTAGTTTGACAGAAATTTACACCGGATTTTAAAAACTTCTAAAATCCTACACAAAATGTGAAAATATGTTGTAATTTTCCATATATCCATAAATGACGTCAAGTTTCGATAATTTCACTACTGATGTGCCTTGACAAGCCATATTTTTTTTGTCAAATCATATAACTGCGTCAAATTATCACATCACTTCATTAAACAAAAACATTTTAACTTTTTTAAAATTAAATATTTATATATATACAGATATACCCACACATATATATATAAATATACACAATCATATAATTGTGTATATGTATATTTGTGTGTACTGTAAAAAAATTAAAATATATGTATATATATATATACATATATGTATATGGGATTTTCTCTCAAATAAATAATCTATGTCACTTTTTAATACATTGAAATCAAAATATTTTACAAAAATATAATAAATAATAAATATTTCATGTTATAGATGCCAATTAAATATATATATATATATATATATATATATATTCTTAATTTTTATCGGAATTCATGAGATTACTCATTAGCTATATGTAATTAGAGCATTTAATTTATCTTCTTTTTTTTGTATTTTTATTAAACAAATGTTAGATTATTATAATTAAAACAACAACTATATATATTATATAAAAAACTCATTTTGATATTAGTTTTATAAATTGTTATTGAGATGTTTAATTGATATTAGTTTTATATATAGTTTTGAGATTTTTATTTTATTATAAGTTATCTATATATAAAAAAGTATTAATAGATTATTATAATAAAAATAATAATAAATGTATCTTTGTTACATGAAAAAGACATAATTGTTTTAGAGTAAATATATAAAACAATATAGTTTCAAAACCATTATTGTAAAATCTATATATATATTAATAAAGATGTTCAAAAGATTCCGGTGAAGACAGCTAAGCATCCGCATCATCAATTTTCTTAATTTTTATTGGTTCATAAGATTACTCATTAGATATATATAATTAGAGCATTTAATTTATCTTTTTATTTTGTATTTTTATTAAACAAATGTTAGATTGTTATAATTAAAACAACATCTATATATATTATATAAAAAAACTCATTTTGATATTAGTTTTATAAATTGTTATTGAGATGCTTAATTGATATTAGTTTTATATATAGATTTGAGATTTTTATTTTATTATAAGTTATCTATATATAAAAAAGTATTAATAGATTATTATAATAAAAAATAATAATAAATATATCTTTGTTACATGAAAAAGACATATTTTTCTTAGAGTAAATATATAAAATAGTTTCAAAACCATTATTGTAAAAAAAATTTAAAAAAATAAAAGCCACTCTAGAAATTCTAAAACATCATATTTATTGTCCACTTATAACCAAATTTAATACAATAATATTACAAGTATTTTGTAATAGTCAGAATTTTATAAGCTATTAATTAGACTTATAATATTTGCTGTTTAAATATAAACAATATCGTAAACTCTCTTTACTGTGAAAAGGTGAAACCTTGGGTACTAAATATATTGGAATAACATATTGAAATAGTGAACAATGGGATGGTGGAGGCTGCTGTTGCATGAGCGGATGATGGAGGGGCCACCGAGGTGGATGAAGTGTTCTTCATTGGTGTCGAGTGTGAGGGAGAAAATGGGTAAGATGATGTTCTTGGTAACCGGAGAAATTGGGATTTGATGTTCTGATGTGGGCTCGATGAGAATAAGAAAATGAACAAGTTAAACATATCTTTTGTCCATGTCTCTTTCTCTTTTTGTCTTGATTTTTTTTTATAAATAAATATATCAGGGTTCAATATATAAAAATTCGGTCAGATATAGAAGAGAGGGTTCAATATATAAAAGTTCGGTCAGTACCCAAGAGAATTCCAAAAAGGAAGCCCACCATCTATGTAGAAAAAAAAAACACCGCGGTGAGATATCAACGGGTAGGTTAGGACCCGCGTACATGTTATTCTATCGATTATGTTTTTAAAAAATTTATTGATATCAATATTGTTTAAAATTATATAAATTATTTATTTAATTCGGATATAATATTTGTTGTAAATATAAAATATCAATAAATTTAAATATTATTTTTATTAAAAATAATTTTATTTTGTTAATTTTTTATTATTTTATATTCTATTATTCATTTTTCTTCATTCAAAAATATTTTGTTTAACTTTATAATAATTTTTTTATTCATTCTAAAAACTTCTCCTTTAATTTTATAATGATTTCTTTATAAATCTATATCACTAAAAGAAAAAAAATTAAAGGATTTTATTCTATATATTTATTTAACATATATCTCATTATTCTACTTTACAGTTATGACTATAAATAAAAATTAATAATATAATAAAATAAATAATCAAATACTTTTGTAAATAATAGAATCAATAAATAATATCTATTTCAAGATAATAATGTTTTGGATCAATACGCATATTTAGATTTTCAAAAGCACTGTTACTTTCAACTATATGATATTTTTAAGTTATTGAAAATCACGTACGGTATGATATCTTTTTTTTTTAAACCAAAACCAGACAACAGCCCTTCTAGGTTTTTTTACTCAAATGACCCACTTGGATCGCACCTATTTCAGCGTACACCACCGAAAAAAAGTAAATTTTTTTTTCAATTTTAATTCACTTTTCGGTTGAAAAAGTCCGAAATATCTTTTTTTTTTTTTTTTTGCGACCTTATTACGACTAATATATAACTGATATATCACTTAAATAAGACAGATGATTTTTTTACCACCTTTTTTAGAATCAATTGTAACTATATTTAGAATTAATTACGAAATCATAGTAACGAAATTGTTTTCGAACGGATAAATATCGTGTATTCATTAAGGGTAATTTCATCTTTGTCTTGTCAGGGACGCACCAAAGTACATTCAGATCGGTGGATTAATCCTTAAGATCGAGAGAACCGCAGAAGGGATCGCCCATATCCCTTCTCCGCAGATCAAACCCGATGCCACCGCCCCCACGAAATCGTCCGCATCTTTCCTGTTCATCAGCTCCCATACGAACAATATCACCGTCCCGACGAACATGTCCATGGCGAAATAAGCTCCGACGTTGAACGGAATGGACATCGCCATCGGAATCGGGATGAACCCAGATATCTTCGGCGGTGTGACGTCTCTCAGGATGTTCACAACCAGAGCGGCAACGAAAAACCCGCAACAAAGAGCTAGACAGTGCTTGGGGAGTTGTGAGAAGCCCTGGACCCCGAGAATCGCCATTTCACGGAAAATCACGGCGTAGGGAGCTTTGTACGGACCGTCAGGAGATCCAATATCGAAAGCAGTCCAGAAAAGCCAGAACGTGAGTGGAGCTATTACACAACCCATCGCTGTCCCGACCAGTTGGCTCACGAACATGGATTTTGCGGACGATAATGTCAGGTAACCTGTCTTGAAATCCTGCATGAGATTGGCGGCTGTAGAGACGATTGACACGATGACCCCACAGGCAGCTAAACCGGCAATGACACCGCCATTGCTTCCTACTATCGAAGCAAAGGTGAAAAGGCTGATCTTTCCATAGGTTGAAGCCAAATTCCAGTCAGTGAGACCAGATCCGTAAGAGTTGCTGAAGGCGAATGCTGGGGCAACGAAGTAAGAACAGAGGACCAAGTACCATCTCAATGGTGGGAATATCATCGGGATCATTGCCGTTGAGATGGCTGCAAGTCCGACGTACCCAGAAACCGCGAACCAGAAGGGTATACGGTCCTTGAGAAATACTTCATCTCTTTTCTTCTTCTCCAGAAATGTCTCGCTATCATCTGATTCAAAGAAGAGATTTGAACAGAAGTTTCCATACTTTCAGTGGTCCATTGCCTATAGAGACGGGTTACAAAAACAAAAGTGATGGATATTTCCTCACCTAAAACATCTGTGACAATGGGTAGGCTTTGCTTGGAACTTTTGTTGCAGATTTCCTTCACGGTTAGTGCCATGATCTTGATGAGATTGTAGAGACAATCACCAAGGATGATGGCAGTGGCAATAAAGACCTTAAAAGATTGGCAGTGATGAGAAAAAAACCATTGACTATCGCCGTTTTGAAGTAAAAATCGAAACTTTAGCAACACCCTTTCTACCTACCTTATATCCGTAGAGACCTTTAAAATCATTGGCCTCTAAGTCAGCTGGATACCAATCACCGGCATGCTGAGAGACAAATGGCCACAAAAACCCCCATGAAAGGATAGCACCAAGAAGAACCGAGCAGTTCACTATGTGGGGACATATAAGACCACATCCAACATAAGTGGGGCTGAAGTCGAAGTAAAACCTGCAAGTAGTCACTCGGTACCATGTCTCCAAAAAAACATCACCAATACAATGACCATGGACTTTATAACCGCTTAATATAAAGTCTCTTACGTGTTCTTAGCCAGAGTCAATCCAAGGGCGCGAAAGCTATCGAGTCCACTGAAGAACCACTTGAAGCAGCTCCAGCAGAAGCTAAGGCTCAAGTATCTCCCAAGACATCTAACCTGCTTCCTGCAGTGAATATTATTCAGCCTGAAAGGGAGGGAGACTGCTATTGCACATTACTCGGTCAGAACAGTTACCCTGCAAGCTCAGCTCCGGTGTTGGTGTGAAAGCTGTTTATTAGCATTGCCGTTGCGGTTCCACTGGGATATGCAAGTTCATAGTCCAAAACCAGTACCTGAGACATGGATGATGATTGCATTAATGGAGACAGGAAGCAGATTCAGTTCTGTTAAGAACATAACCGAATGATAAGATTTGTATTTGTGCCTACCTTGCGAAGTGGGACAAGACAAAAGGGCCCGACGAAGCTGACTGCAAATAGAAAACCGGTTATCCACCACAGTCCTAGGTTCTTAACATCCTCGGCATGGTTGCCAGGATAGTCCACACCAATGAGCTTGTATGTCTTCTCATCCATGGCAATCAAATAAGAACCGCCCCCTGCAGAAAAGAACTCGGAAGAAACATAACAAGAAGACGAGAGCAAGTAAGATCAATCCATCTCAGCCTTATACTAATAACCATACATACATTGATCAGCGGACCAAACAAGTGCTACCAAAAACAAATATATAACACGAATCCAAAATCCAATTTCTAAGCACAAGCTGCCAGTTCTGTTAACCTGGTTCTATGATCAAACCACAGTCAATGTCACCAATATCAACCTTATTGATAGGGGTCTTGTTCATTCACCTGCTAGCAGAAAACAATCCGACAATTGCCATTGTCCCGTTTTAAGGTATTTGCGTGCAATGCTTGACGCATTCATAACAACAACGGTATGAAACAGTAAAACCAAAAGACGGACAGCAACAAATTTAGATATGATGAAAAAGACAAAAGGAAATCTGCCCAATTTCGGAAGGCATCGGATATAAAACACGAAAACGGACATTATGATAAAAGATTAAGCAATCGGGAATGGATAATCGGCCACTCTACCGCTAACGGCGAGGATGTGGCAGGCGACAACGCATGTCTGGATAACGGTGTTCTCCTGTTTGGTGAAGGGTTTGACGGAAAACCCTAGCTTCGACAAGAAACCAGTCCACGACTTGACGAAGAAGAAACCGAGCAAACCAGCGGCAACGTTCAGCGAAGGGGCTATTCCGACAGTCAGATTGAGCTTGTGGGTGATGATGCAGAACAGCGTCCCGAGCAAAGCGCTCACTGTAAGGCCTCGGACCGTGATCTGCTCCTTCCAGTCGGGAACACGCTCGTCGGAGTCAAACGCCGCCGCCGTTTTCTCCGATCCCGGCAGCAATGCCTCTGAAATCTCCACCAACCCTTGATTCTCCGTCCCCATAACAATAACCCTAGATTCTGACTTTAACCCCGATATTTCGTATCTTAAACGGAGAATTCCCGACGGCTTTCACCGGAAGCGGTCCGAATCCTCCTTTTCCCCTCCAAAGTCCCGAAGCTTGTCCGCAAATTTTCAAAGGAAATGATTATGCCCCTTCTCACCCAAATTTCCGAAATCGCAGAAATACCGATCGTGAAGAGAACGAGGATTTGAAGAGTCGCGGTTAAAGGTATCAAAACGGCGAAGATATACGATTAGGGCAGATTGCTCAAATAAGCAATAAATCGCCTGGTACACCTCAAAAACATCACTCTCTCCCTCTCTCTCGAGATCTTTTCCATTTTAGGGTTTTCTTTCCTTTTTTTCGTTTTTAATTGCTCTTGCAAGCGGCTACTTCTGGTCTTTGTATCTTCGTTGAGTTCTTCTTCTTCGAGATTAGCTCTGTCTGTTTGATTGATTATGGTCGTTACTGATTGATCAAAGAACTTTTGCTTTGTCCATTTTCGTCCAATCTCCGAGAAGGGTTTTAATCCGTTTGCCCCGATTCGGTTTCCTATTAATGAATTTGAGAATGATTCGAACGAACTTTCATGGAGCTCTGATTCTTGTCTTCATCCTTCGATGATCTCGTTTGCAGGTATGAAGATGGGTTTCTGTTGTTGTCAGAGTCAGCCATGGAGACAACAAAGTTGAATGTCTGCGTTTGATTTGTTGGATGACTTTGACTTCATTTGACGGACTTTGTCCCTGAAATCTAGAAATTTCTCCGAAACAGACAATGATGTTATTTTTTAAAGGTAAAATCCTAAAAAAACACTAAATTTTCTAATTTAAAACAATACTGAATTTTGTTTTTTATTAAATAAATATTTTTAAAATTTATAAAAAAACAATTAATTTATCTATGTTAAAATAAATAAAATGAATTGATACAACAACAAGGCCTCATTCCAAGTTTTAATATTTTTTGACAATAATAGAAAAGTTTATATTTTTTTATCATTAAAAAGTTTGGTACTTTTTAGATTTGCTTGAAATTTAATATTTATTTGAAATAAAAAAATTTGTGTTTTTTTTTCAAAATTAGATGGAACGTTTGAATAAGATTAAATGTTTAAACCAAAAAGAAATGATTAAATGTTATTTATGGATTTTTCTTCTTCAGTTTTTTTTTAAAAACTAATTTTCTTTTCAAAAAGGAATGCGTCCCTCAAAATAATTTTTGAAGAATAAAAAACATAAAAAATTAAATTATTGAAAATATGTGGTTGGTACTTGGTAGTGTACTCGTTACTATTTGTTAATGAGTAATCAATGAGGCTTAACCTGTCTTAATTCAAGCACGTTGAAGGGAGGAGACCAGGACGGCGGCAGGACCAAAGACATCAACTTGTCACTTGACTTTGGTTTCTTTCTTCAAGATTCATCGGATCGTCGGTGGAATCCATTGCGCTCTCTCTGTCTCTCTCTCTGACGAGGTCTTTTCCATTTTAGGGTTCGTCTTTCTGTTCCTTTACTGTTTTCATTTTTCTCACAAATTTCCCGTTTTAATTGCTCTTGCAATCAACTGCTTCTGGTATTTGTATCTTCGCTGTGTTGCTGTTCTTCGATATTAGCTATTTGGTTCTGTCTGACTGAGAAAAACTTTTGCTTTGTCCATTTTCGTCAAGTTTCTGACATGGATTGTAATCCGCTTACCCTGATTCTGTTTACAAATCAATAAAATTTTTTTGTTCTTACACAAAATTTGAGTACGATTTGGTCAAATTCTGGTTCTTGCCGTCATTCTTTGATTATCTCGTTTTGCAGGTTATGAAGACGGGTTTCTGTTGCTCTCGGACACGGAGACACAACGAAGTTGAATGCTTCTGTGTTTGATTCTGTTGGAAGAATTTTGACTTCCTTTGATGGAGTTTGTGTCTGAAATCCAGAAATTTCTCCGAAATGGAAAGAAAAAATGGATTTTTCTGGTTGGAGCTGTGGCTTTCACTCATATCTTACTTTTCCAATCTTTAGTTGTCCCTTTTGACAAGCTTAGATTGTCCGATGAGACGGCTTCATCAGAAAACGCTGTTCTTAGAAACCGGTTTTCAGTTCAGGAATCCGATGTTTCTGCTGCCTCTGGACTTTATGTCTTGGAGAAAACTGATCATGTTTCAGTGTTTGGTAATGACGATGGCCAAGAAAGAGGGAACAGCGTGGTCATGATGGGAACCGGCTCTCATGGCAATGATGGTGAATCGGGTTTGAATGCAGGTGTAGATAATGACATAGACGACGATGAAGGGTTAGATGACAGGATTGATTTAGAGAGATTTGAAGACGAAAACGATATCGTCGAGGAACTAGCTGATAGTAGCAAAGACCGAATTCCTCAAGGGAAAGCTGACAAGCAAAGAGAGGAAGTTTCGATGGATAAGTACACGAATCAGGTGCAGAAATTTGAGTCCTCAAAAGCAAACTTATCGGTACAGAACACGAAGAATGTGAAAAGACCTACATCAAGTGTAGTCTCCATTGTCGGTAATGCTACCTTGACCAGGAATCTCCATGTTTTAGAGAACGGTTCCTTGCCGATCTCTAAGCGAGTGAAGAGGAAAATGCGGTGTGAAATGCCACCAAAGACCGTGACTACGATAAATGAGATGAATCAGATACTAGTAAAGCACCGTAGATCTTCACGTGCAATGGTTAATAACTCCGATACGAAATTCCGCTTTTGGTTTCTTTTAGTAAGTTATTGTGAAATTGACGGGACCTCGTTTCAAATGCAGCGACCACGTTGGTCTTCTAGACGGGATGAAGAGATATTGGCTGCAAAGAAGGAGATAGAGAATGCTCCCGATGCATCAAATGATCGACAACTTTATGCTCCAATCTTCCGGAACGTTTCCATGTTTAAGAGGTAACAATTGCAGAACCTTTATTTCGATTTTATCGTTGCTAATGACCATGTAGTCGTATGTTCCAGGAGCTACGAGCTTATGGAACGGATACTCAAGGTGTACGTATACAAGGAAGGTAGCCGGCCCATTTTCCATACGCCGATACTAAAGGGATTATATGCATCGGAAGGATGGTTCATGAAACTGATGGAAGGAAACCGGCATTATACAGTGAAGGACCCGAGGCGTGCTAACTTATACTATATGCCGTTCAGTGCGCGGATGTTAGAGTACAAACTTTACGTGCGTAATTCTCATAACCGAACAAATCTACGTCAGTATCTTAAGGAATACACCGAGCATATTGCTTCGAAGTACCCTTTCTTCAACAGAACGGGTGGAGCCGATCATTTTCTTGTCGCCTGTCATGATTGGGTACGTATCTTACATATCGGTACCGTTTTTTAAATCGAAAAAAAATCAATATGGCATTGCATCTGGTCGATGTCGAATGATATTTTCACGTTTCTGAACATGTAAACAGGCACCATATGAAACAAGACACCATATGGAGCATTGCATAAAAGCGCTGTGCAACGCTGACGTGACCGCAGGGTTCAAGATCGGGAGAGACGTCTCTCTTCCCGAGACGTACGTCCGAGCGGCCAAAAACCCGCTTCGGGATCTGGGCGGAAAACCTCCGTCTCAGAGGCGGATTCTCGCGTTCTATGCGGGAAGCATGCACGGTTACTTAAGGCAGATCCTGCTAAATCACTGGAAAGACAGAGATCCCGAGATGAAGATCTTCGGGAGAATGCCACGGGGTTTCGAGAGCAAGATGAACTACATCGATCACATGAAAAGCAGCAAGTATTGCATCTGCCCGAAAGGGTACGAAGTGAACAGCCCGAGGGTCGTGGAATCGATCTTCTACGAGTGCATTCCCGTCATTATCTCTGACAATTTCGTGCCTCCGTTCTTCGAAGTTCTCGATTGGGACGCGTTCTCGCTCGTTCTGGCGGAGAAAGATATCCCGAGACTGAAGGAGATATTGACGTCGATACCCGAAGAGAAGTACCTGAGGATGCAGACCGCAGTTAGGAAGGCGCAAAGGCATTTCCTCTGGCATGCGAAACCAGAGAAACACGATCTGTTTCATATGGTGCTTCACTCTATTTGGTATAACAGAATGTTCCAGGCAAAGCGTAGATGATGATGATGATGATGATGATGATGATGGTGATGATGATGATAAAAAGGCTCTTCTTACAAGAGTCTGTTTCTGTTAAAGATTTTTGCAGTTTTGTTGTTGTTGTTGTTTGTAACATGTGAAAATGTGAGAAAAACTATGTGGGTTGGAGTTTATTTTTGTAAATAAATATTTGTTATAATTTGGATTTTCGAAGAAAGAATGGGTGGTGTTTTACCAAAGTAATTTCTGATAATTAACATTTACGGCGTTGTAAATATGTTTGAGACAGGAAAGATCAGTATCTAGAGAGATGTTTTACCATCCGTGCAGGCCGTCACATTTTGGATTTCCTTAGATTCGAAATCTGATTTTGTCATTTGGATGTATACAGATATCTACATCCGATTTCCATGGAAAAAATATGAGTTATTTTAGAAATACTTTTGCAATTTTTAATATATAGGGAAGTATTTTTTTGTAATTTTCAAAAAAAATATACAAAACCTAACTCAAAATTTTTATATGATTAAGTAGAATAAGATGAAACTAATTTGATTTAGTATTGTAAAAGTATATGCAAAGTATGTTTTCACTCTGGGTTTAAATCTAAATGTGGAAAAAAACATTCACCTGAACTTCACCGATCCTTTAGGATATAGTCGGGGCAAAGATCCGGTGAACTTCTTAAAACCATAAGGTGATACCTTATTGAACCTCTTAAAATTCTACCTGTGGATTCTAAAGAATCAATAAAAGATGTCGAATCTAAATTGGCGACTTTCGTTTTTGCTCCATGCAGGAACAGAGAACACAAGCTCCCAGATTCTTTCGTTTATCTACTCATTCCGGGTATGTTAAGTAATCAATCATCATCCAATTATCAGAACTTAGAAGTTTTATTCTGTGTCTTTGTCATCCTGAATGTAAGTGTAGATCGGGAATAAAGAAACTCGTCGGATTATGGAGTTCTTGATATGCATGATCAAGGTAACAACAAGATTCACACTAATCAAGATTTAACCAAAACGGTTTCTTTCTCATTCTGTTCTTGCGTTTTTGCGATGAAAAAGGCGATATCCGAGTGTTGGAAGACCTAGATGATCGAAGACAATAGTTCATCGAGAAAAACAGACTCTCGGACACGGTTCCTCTCGTATCGTTCCACTCAGAAGCGAGAATATCTCCGAGCGTTCTAGCCACAATGACGCATATCGCTCACATTGAAATCTCGTGGCTGCCTCTCCCGACACTGAGGGAAGAATCCGACTACGTCATGGAAAGAGGGAGAAAGGTTCCAGTCATAATCCCCGTTTCAGTAGTAATGGCGATTTCAGCTATGCATCTTCAGCTGAGATATGGAGAGAAGAGCGACGGCCTGGTCCTTTATGGTTTATTCTTCGTCGAAAATCGATGTGGACGAAGCTGATGCATCAGAGATGTGTGAAGCTTTCTTGACAATGGTGGTGGAGATCGGAGAGGCAAAGTAAGAAGCTAAGGGGGAAATGGAAATTTGGCAATGTGAATTGGATTTCCGACCAGATCAATCCAGATTTTTGAGCTCGGATTGTTCCGATTAGTTTTGTTTAAAAAAAAAATAGGAATAGGTTCACGAATTACAACCAAATTCAGTAAAATACATTATATCAAAGAGCCAATTAAATTAGTGGCCTAACTCATTAGGGCTGATCTTTTCGGATTTCAATCAGATTATTTTTATTTTAAAAAAATTAAAATTATTTGGTTTTAATATCGAATTCAGTTTTGTTTCGATTTGGAATCTGGTTTTATTGATAAAAAAAATATGAATTTTCAAATAAATTTTCAGTATGATAGTTTTTTTTTTGGTAATGTTATGATAGTTTTTTTTTTATATTTTGTTCGGTTCAAATTTGATTTATTCAATTTAGAGAAATTAGAATCATCGAGTTCTTATATAGCATTCGTTTGAATTTAGTTTTTCGGGTTTAGAGAATATATTTTTTAAAAATTTGGAAAGATTGATTTAGTTATTTCCTTATAAAATAATAAACTACTATTTTCTAATAGTAACATGTTCACGAAATAAAACATTTTGGATTCGAGTATAGACACGAAATCTTGTTCGATCGCTTCTGTTAGATATTTTGTAATATTATATTAATTTTTGCAGCTGCATGCATGCGATCACTAAGAAACATATCTTATTATAATTATAATTATTTATTTGCGTCGATAATCATGATCGTAAGAGTTGACTATTTTTATATATATTGGGAGTATCAGATGTGACAACTCATCATCAAATGAAAAAAACAAAACGAACTTTTGAGATATTTTTTTTATTATTTTGTGATCAAATTTATTTTTAGATTTATTTATGTCAAAACCCTTATAGCTTTTGTTCTTTTGGTTGGACCAAATATCGAAATTAAAGATGCATTTTATCATTTGCTTTTTATAATGATTATTATTCCAAATCTATCACTCACATTTCAAGCTTTTTGGTATAGTTTTCTTTATTTTTCATCATAACTAAAATAGTATCCTTGTTTCCATTTTATGAGCAGCGGGTGACAGAATTTTCTCTTCAATAAGAAAAATCAAAGCCATTTATTTAATTATTATAGTATCGTATAATATTTAACAAAAATCATTTATAAATTAAAAAAAAGGAGAGAGATCAAGAACGTGATCGAAAATCGTGTAGAGATGCATGATAAATAATGATGAAGACAACCGTCAAGAATAATTTCCGTATACATTATTGTTTTGTTAAACAAAAATTGGGTATCCACAAAATTTTAAAAGTTTTCAATTCGAGCAAATAAGTGATTAAATAATTATTTAAATTTGAAAAGGAAACATTGCGATATTGTGACTCGTGTATCTAATAAATTATTCTGATATTTTTGGATATCTGAAATGATAATCATTTTTTAAGAATTTTTTTCACAAATAATTAAATTACACTACGCTTGTGGATATGTCACAAATAATCATTTTTGAAGACAACGCCGGATTTATATTATTTACAAATCCGGACCATAAAACTATTATTACATATTATAATGGGTGAATGTATAATGATCCGTTATAATTGGATTTAACAAATATCATTCGCAAGATTCTTTGAAATTAAAAAAAAAAAAAGATTCTTTGAAATTTTGAATTTGATATTTGATTTTTGAAGATCTCTTGGATCTCAAATGAATGAGACTAATAGATTTTTTTATTGTTCCTAATTTACTTTTAATCAGAAATACTAAATAGTTGTAAATGTAAGCTCTAAACTTTCTATCTTAATTTCTTAACCATAATTCCAAAATCTTATATCCTAAATCAATTTTAAACTCGAAACTATAAATAATAAAATCTAAATCTTAGAGTTTAGAATTGGTTTAGAGTGTAGGTTATGATTTAAAATTTATAATTTAAAAGTTTGGATTCAAGATTTCTAACGTTATTAAAATAAAATTGTCAATTTGACCTCATCATATATATTAAAAAAAATATTATTATCACGATTAATAGGTTGCCTCAACAAATACAATTACAACGTCCTTTATAAAGCTAGTAGGTGTAAAGATCCATCGGATTTAGATGCATTCACGAATCATCCTAACGCATGTATATATATATATATATATATATATATATAAACAATATGTAATTATATATGGGGATCTTCTCCAACTCTATTGGTTTGAGAGCCCACTTCCTGGAAAAGAGGTCGTGAGTTCAACACCCCGAATATGAAGATTTCTCCATCGCCTGTCGGTTTCGACCGATTTACCTCTCATGTGTTTGCAGGCTCGGGTGCATGGATCGGAGTAGTCTGGGCTCTTTAGGGCCCAGGAAATCGGCTTAAAAAAAAATGTAATTATATATGTGTAAAATCACAGGACATGAATTGACAAAAGACTTCGTTTGCGCCATATTATTTTAATCACGTGTAAAGATATCTAATCTTTAAGAGTACAACAAATCATTTTTTTTAAATTGGATTTTAATACAACAAAATAAATAACTTATTTTCTATTTTGGCAAAAAAAGTGTCTGCATAATTAAATTTCCATAAGTGGGGGAACTCGTTTGTATTAATCCCTAGAGAAATTCATCAATATTTTATAATAAAAAAATCTTGTAACTATATAACATATAATATAATATGTTGAGTTATTACGTAGAGGCGGAAAAGGGGAAAATACAGAACGGAAGCACGTGTGTTATGGGCATACTGTACTCGATGTTGAGTTATTAGACTGATTTAAGACATCGTCATTAAATCTCTTATTATTTTATTATCATTTCTATTAAATTATTATTTTATTATGATAACTCGGACCCAGGTCGGTCCTCTGTTCCCTTTTTTTTCATTCTTTAGTATTTTTCCAACTTTAAATAATATAAAAAAAAACTATTTCAACGAAATTATCAAAGTTTTATATCTAATAAATTATGTTTTTAAACTTATGAAATATGAATTCTATATTTTTTTGTCTTTTTCAAAATATTGCATTATCAATTTATCAATATGTAATGTTTGTTGAATTTACTATTCAATTAATTTAGCATTTAGAAAAATACGAAGAACAATCTGAAATCTCAGAAAAGACTCAACTTATTTAAAAATTTATTTGTAAATATCAGATATATTCATATATTTGATTTAATAATATTATTGAAATTTAGTGAATATATATTACTTTTCGAATAACGACAAACCTAAACTACGACATTTTAATATTATTAAAAAAATATTAAATACCATTTACCTCTAAAAATCTCTGCTCTCTCTTTCCTACAAAACCCCCTATAAAACTCTCATGCTTTCATGTGTTTCTCTCTCTCAGTGAGGCTATGAGTAACACACAAGCTGCATCGCCTGACTCGGTCTCCGCTGACTCGCCCAACTCGGAGACCGAGTCATGCACCACTACTACTTCTCTATCACCACACCCTTCTCTCTCGACCGAGTCGTCCTCACCCGACTCGGACCGCAACCCACCAGAAAACGCCAGGAAACGGCCGAGATCAGACAGCAGTCCACACCAAGTTTTTCGCGGTGTCCGAATGCGCACGTGGGGGAAATGGGTCTCCGAAATCCGAGAACCCAGGAAGAAGAATCGGATCTGGCTCGGTACCTTCGCCACAGCCGATGCGGCTGCGCGTGCCCACGACGCGGCGGCGTGTGCTATCAAGGGCAGCTCCGCTGTGCTCAACTTCCCGGAGCTAGTCGGTTTTCTCCCCAAACCGGCCTCCAATTCACCCCGGGACGTCCAAGCCGCCGCCATTGCCGCCGCCGCCATGGAATTTCCCGTAATCGCCGCCGCAGTATCGGCCTCGCATTCATCTTCGTCGTCGACTTTGCCATCATCCTCTTCATCGTCGTCGTTATCGTCGGAGACCCACGATGAATCGGCGACAACATCGGACGAGCTGAGCGAGATAGTGGAGCTCCCGAGACTGGGGACGAGTTACGAGTCAGCCGAGTCCGGGGGCGAGTTCGTGCTGGTCGACCCGGTTGACGACTGGGTCGACACGAGTGCAATTTGGGAGCAAAATGAGGGGCAATTTGGGTATTTCTCCGATGATTTTATTCACGAGAGTGTGATCGCAAGTGGTTTTGGGGCTTTCTTGTGGTAAAATTAAGTTTTGTTCCAAATTTGTTTTGTATAAATGCATTTATATTTACTTTCCATATTTTTTTTAAAATTTAATTTTTACTTTTTATTAATTAAATCGTTTCCTATAGTGTCCATTCCAAGGACTAAAAATACCTTCCTTGCCTCTCAAGATGTTATTATTCCCTTTTTCCTCCTTTTTTTTCCCTCTTTTTCCTTTTAATTAGCTAAATTAGAATGTTACAAAATTAAAAGGGATATATTTCAATTAAACACCCACATACCCAATTTCTTTTTGGATTTGCTAATTTACTAAGAAAGAAAAAAGTGATGCAAGATGTCAAAATTTTGAGGGAAGTGATAAAAAAAAAAGTCGAAATTAATTTTTTAATTAAGAAATTATATAAATGGATTTTTAGGTGAGAAAATACACGATATGAAAACTACATTATACTCATAAAAATTATTTAAAACGCCATAAGCATTTCTCATACATTTTTTTTTATTCTTCTGCTTCATCCAACTCCTTGCATCTAACTTTGATCTACACCATTTATCTCACATTTAATATAAAATAATTGCTACAGCATTCAGAATTCGTACCGTCTTTTTTACGTCTTCATTCTTAACGTTATATTGTCTTTACAATAGCGCCTTCCATGTTTATCTTATAATTTCTTTTAATATATATTATATAGTTTTTTTTTTCAACTTTAATTAAATCAAAGACGAGAAAATTGTAATTTTGACAAAGGGTGTTCTTCCTTTAGCAAAAATAAAATAAAAAGGTTCTTTACCTTGGACCAGTTCGGTGGTGTGTGTATATATATAGGTTTTAACAGCAGGCGGTAAAAATAAACTATGTGAAGTCCCATTACGCTTCATGTTGAACTGAAGATAATTAACAAATGGGAAACTGTATTTCTTATAATTTTATTTGTTAATTAATAATTTCTTTAAGTGGGAAGTCTCGAGACTCTTGCTTTGGGGTTTCAAAGCCCTCACTTTTCATAATTAGTTTTTTTTTTAATGAAATTAATTTTCACTATAATTAGTTAAAACACACATTTATGTTCTGTGTAGGTGAATCAAACACACATATAAAGACTACGTTTGCCCTTCCACTATTTTACCCTTTTTGTCATTTTACAATACTATCGTGTGAATCAATATTTTAATAGAAAACCATAATGTATATATATTGTAATGCACGGTCACAAAATAATATGATTTAATTAATCCATATATTTTAATAATTTTATTTTTTGTATGTCTGGTAGTGAATTCCTACTAAATAATACTATAAACTTTCAAATAAACAGCTAGAAAAATATCGAAATAAAAATCAAAATAAATAATTATTGTATACTCAAAATAAATAATAATTTTTTTTGTATCAAGACCGATTGACTTGATACAAAAGATTGATCCGAATAATGAATAACAAAACATATGGACTCAATGAGTTTAATTTTCATCAAGTACAAACAAGTCTTCCTAGTTGCAATTTCGAATATCACAAAAGGATATTCCAAATAATAAAAAAAAAAAGGTTAGACACCACCTTGGATTACCCATTATCAAAAAAAAAATTAGAAATTACAGAAAATAAAAAAAGAAACGTAAAATAAAATTATTATATTAATTTTTGTCGAAATTAATATAATAATTCCACATATATATTTAATTTAAAACATGTTGAGAGAAAAAAAAAGTAAGAAAAAGAAATAACAGAAGAATATATAAGAAGGTTCCTTTCTTGTCTTGTTGCGACTCAAGTAAAGATACTGTTGTCTTTGATGGACATCCCAACCAACCTAATAAGCTGTACCTCTCCTGTCTTCACTCTCTCATCATCATTTAATCACGTTTTTTTTTTCTTTAAATTTGTCGTCTTCTGATTTCAATGTATACTGGTCATGTCATGGCGATGGATGACGATGATGATGGTGATGATGGATGGTGATGATGGATGGTGATATGTGCATCATCGTAATTATAGCAGAAAAAACGCAGTTAAAAATGTATTATCATTAGTTATAACAACAATTATCGACGGTATAATAACAACTAAAAGAAACACCAAATATATGAATAATCATATGATATCGAGTTGACATAAAAATAATTATCATGTTCTATGGAAAAGCACTTTGATAAGTCAAAGACATAGCCTGTAACTTTTCTTGCAAGTGAACAGTTAATAATATGAATTTTTTTTTTGGTTTAGTAAAATAAATATTGTAATTAAACAAGCACCTATTGTGCATTTCCATTAGTTTAATTTCTTGAGATCATAAAATAAAAAATTATTTCAAATAAATTTCTAAAAGTTGAAAATTAACGAATAACAAAAATAAATAAAAATAAAACGTACTATAATAAGATATAGACAAATACAATACGTTATTTACACATTCAAAGTGTGTTAACATTCTATTTTATATACTATACAAAAAATGCACATTTATATGTTCACGCTTGACTTTTCTAAAAAGAAATATTTTACTACAAATTAGTACATTTTTCCATAAAATACGGATATTTTTTTTTTGTTTATACTATCTTTTATTTCAAGTTATTCAGCAAATATTATTATATATGGTATGAAATCGAGAACCGAGTTAATCTCGGATGTCGCAACCAGTGTGATTCAGAACCAATTATTGAAGAGCAAGGTGAAAAATAATAAGTAAACACACTTGTGAATAATTTGAATATAAATTTACAAACAAAAAAAAGCTTAATATAAATACATAAATAAATTAATCTTCGTGCTGAGAAGTTGCTTCGAGAGTGTTTACATTTACGTTGACCTTCATGTGAAATCCTTTGGAAATCTCACTTATTTACTGTTTTATTGTTTAATAACTTAATCATATCCTAAAATAATTAATTTATATACATATATATATATATTGAACATTTTAATTATTTTCCATATTTCTATCATTTCTTTATGTTTAGATCTTTATTTCTCGTGTGTGCACTTAATTTCTTCGAGCATGCACGTCGCATATATGCACACATGAAACGTGTAACAAAAGTAGGATTCCAAAATCATGCTAAGATCGATAAAATTTGGTTGGAATTACATAACTATAACGTGTAGATACTAAGTAATTCTTTTATTGAAATAATTAAAAACTCAGATTTTTTTTATGCCTTCATTTTCAGAGAAACCTTTCCCATCGGGGGCACTTAATCAAAATAATTAATGGCACCTAACCCACGATTTCGATTTTCGAATACGCCGGTTACTCGGTGGTTGTATTTCTTGAAATTACAAAAATATTCATATCTACTCTTAATCCCGTGAACCATCGAGTTTTTGAACACCCTAGACCGTCATGTCGAGGGCACATCTATCTTGGTGTCATGCATCGTCATCTCCATCCAAACTGTGTAGGTGAACTAGTGGTAAGACAACACGCAAAGAATGCTCTTATCCGAATTCAAACTTAAACGTGATAAGTTATTCACCCGAATTTTCTGGATTATTAAAAAAAATAAAAATAAAAACTATTCATGTCTCCACATATTGGCTGGTAACTTTGTAGGTCCGCGACACATTTTTAATGAATGTTCTCGAGTTGCTTCGTTGTGAGGTCTATGAATTCATTGCCGAAATTTTCCCTGCATTTATTTGATTGAAGTTTGTTGTATAATTGCCACAAATCTTTCGTCGTTATTTTTTTAATGCGCATCGATTGATAGCCAGAAGAATGTGTAGTTCGATCTGCATTTCTTGATTCATTAATTGTAACGAAATTCAAAATTTTAATACAGAGACTAAGCAAGCAGCTCAACTGTTTAGAATCCTTGGCAAATAAATATATTAGCAATTGTTAGTCGACTCTTTCGGGGATAATGTGGGCAGTCGGACCAAATGTTAGTGGCCAATACTCCGGTTCGGGTATGTAAAACCGAATCGAACCGGACAACACATAATTCTGTCTAATAAATTTGAATAAAATCGAAACTGACATAATACAACCGAAACCCAGAAAACTGTAGGGCGGATTTTGTTTGCTCATGCCAGAAAGGCAAATAGATCCAATACCCCTATGGATCTGTTATTATCCAGTAGATCTTGTAGAATAAACACCCGTGAAAGAAAACCCAAATGATATAATTCTTAGGGTTTCATCCAAAAAAAAAAAATTAGGGTAGCTAATCTATTCATAGCTTTTGAATGAAAGTTTTTTTTTTTATTTTGTAATATGAGATTAGATCATATACTTTGGCAACGGACACAAATTAACGGTCCATTTTATGAACCGCAAAATTTGATACATTGTCTGTATCAGACAAGAGGTGAGTTGTGGTCGTAAACACAATGGGTCCGAAATTTATTTAAGGTCTTCTCGAAGAGAAGATGAGTTGTCTGTATCAAGCTAATAGAGCTCGCGTGCCTTGAACGCCAAACGCCAAACGCTAAATCGTTACGTCGTCGTTTAGGCTCCCCTAGCAACTATTCCTAAAATAAAATTAGTTGGGCCAACTAATTTGTAGGCCCACTAGAAGGCCCAATAACTTTCACGATATCATTTGCACGACGTCGTATTGTTGCCCACAACTTCGTTTACCCGGAGTTTCTCTCTCGAACCATCGTCGTTTTTTGTGAAACTTGTCGCCATGGACAGCAGCTGCAACGCCCCGCCGTCTACGTCTCCGGCGGTGGATCACGGCGATACCGAGGAACAAGCGGTGGTCGAGATCGATGATTCCGCATATGTTCTCGATCTCACCAGTTTTCAGCTCCACAGTCTCGAGGCGGTAGATTTGCGGGCAACTCTGACGGAATTGGACCTGACGGCGAATCGTTTGTCGACCTTGGACCCGAGGGTCGAGAAGCTCTCTAACCTTAAGAAGCTTTCTTTACGGCAGAATCTCGTCGATGATGCCGGCGTCGAGCCGCTGTCCCGCTGGGCCACCTTGTCGGGCCTCGAGGTGATGATTCTCGTCGCTCTCTCTTCTCGATCTTTGGATGTCTGCTTGGTTCCCGAGAAAGTTCTATTGGGGTCTATCGAGATTGTCTGAATCGTTTGTTACTGGTGAAAACGATTCGATATGCTTTCTTCTGTTTGGTTCAATGTATATGGTCTGATGTGCTTCTTTTTCTGAAATGCCTTTTTGGATACGTCTCTTAGTGTCTGTAAGAATCAAAGATTCATGATCATAGGATTTTTCACTAGCAATGAACGTGATTTTCGAGTTTAAGAGATTAGAAATTGATATACATGTTTGTGGCATAGGATAAATAAGAATATCTCCTGCTTTCTGGGTTCAAGCTTGCATCAAGCAAGTGCTTTCTGTATTTAGTTTTTCTGGGTCATAAAGATTTAGAATTCCCTCGTTTTTTCTCGTTGAATTCTGAGGAGGCTGTTGTTTTGCAGGAGTTAATTCTCAGGGATAACAAGCTAACAAAAGTACCTGATATCAGCATATTCACGAAGCTTTTGGTTTTCGACATATCTTTCAATGAAATCCCTTCTTTGGAAGGATTAGCTAAGGCCTCTAGCATGCTGAAGGAACTCTATGTGTCGAAAAATGAAGTTTCCAAGATGGTGGAGATTGAACACTTGCACAACTTGCAGATTCTTGAACTGGGCTCTAATAGATTGCGGGTTAGATCCTTTATTCTGTCTAGTGTGTTTATAGTGAAAATGGAGAGAGCAGTTGAAATGACATGACTGATGCTCATAAATATTTCGGTTGGAGCATAAGAATGAAATGATTATTAACTTGGGAAGATATTTTATCAGAGTTTGAACCTTTCACGTTGTAACTAGAATTTTTTGAGTTTCAGGTGATGGAAAATTTGGAAAACCTAACAAAGCTAGAAGAGCTGTGGCTTGGAAGAAACCGTATCAAAGTTGTAAACCTATGTGGGCTCAAATGTATCAAGAAGATTAGCTTGCAGAGCAATCGGTTGACCTCAATGAAAGGGTTTGAGGTATTATGCATCATTTGGATTTCTACTACAAAACACCGATGCAGACCCTTACTACCTTTCCCTGCATTAACATTGTCATCTTTATCTGCATGACCAAAATGTCTGTACAGGATTGTGTTGCTCTAGAAGAGCTATACTTGAGCCATAATGGTATCTCGAAGATGGAAGGCTTGAATAGATTGGTTAACCTCCGTGTATTGGATGTGTCAAACAACAAGCTCACATCAGTCGACGACATTCAGAACCTAACACAGTACGCATCTGTCTTCATTCTTCAGCCTATTTTCATGTAATGGGTAATATGATTTGTATCCTGACCTCGGCATATCTGTAGGTTGGAAGATCTATGGCTTAATGACAACCAGATAGAGTCACTTGAAGGGCTTGCAGAAGCTGTTGCAGGGTCAAAAGAGAAGCTTACTACTATCTACCTCGAAAATAACCCATGTGTAAGTTCAACGATCATAAAGGCTATCTCTCGCTTGTTCTTCATTTTGTTTATGCATTCCTATGACCTTGTCTGCTTATATGGCATGCCACTTTCAAGCTCTAACACGGAACGATTCGTTCTTTAAAGAATTTCTTTCTGTGATCATATTTCTGGCTTTTTTTTTCCAGGCCAAGTCCCCGAATTACGTTGCTACTGTCAGGGAAATCTTCCCCAATGCGCAGCAAATCGATTCCAACATATTTGGTTAGAGGAAGATCCATTGTACGATGATGTCTGTATCTGCACGTCGAAATCTTGAGGAATCGATCAGGTAAAGAACCCAGATGGCTCAAGAAACATATTTTCATCCCTATTTTGTGCATGCGTGAGAGGAAACTGTTCTCCATCGCCAACACTGTCATATTTGTGTAATGTTTTTCCTGAGCTGCATTTCTTGGTTCTTTTTATCAAAAGCTTCTTGAAAGAAGTTGGAATGAAAAATTTGTAGAAAAAATGGAAAGAAAAATCTGTTCTATAAAGAAAATCAATATGCAATTCAAATGAAAATATCATTATTAACAGTTTAACGAAAATAAATGATATTTTAATGAAATTAATGTAAAAAATAAAAAAAATTAGAAAGATATATTCAATACCTTATAAAATATGATGTTTCCCTATAAAAAAAAATGAGAGTATGTTTAATATTTAGGTATCATATATATATATAGAGAGAGAAAATGTTTTTAAAAAAAAATGGAATTAAAAAGATTTGTGATTGATGTATTTTGGATTCATCGAAAAATTAAGATATCAAGATCATGAGGGTAACAAATCTTAATTTTTAAGAAAAAGATTACGGAGTCGACAATCATATTCGAAATAAAAAAATTTTAAAAGTAGAATATAAAAAATCAAAATAAAATAATTTAAATTGAATTTGAGCTCCCGTATTGGACCGTCTGCTATTTTTCTTTAAGTGCTCGAATCCGTGATACCCAAATTAAAAACACAATATCCAAATCCAAATACAAATCTGAATCTGATCCTGAATCCAAATTCGAATCCAAATCTGTCAAAGGAATATCTAACACCTAAAACCCAATCCTGCACTTACTTGCATTCTTATACGGTTATACCAAAAAGTTCTAGTTTTTTTTTCCACCTTTATACTATATGACCTCATTCGCTAAGATTTTAAAAAAAAAAAAAAAACAGAGCGGGTCATTGTGTTATCCCCTAGCGAATAAAGGGTCAACACGTGTCATTTCAAGTCCGCTCGCACTCGCACGGGACCAGAAACAATGACAAGGGCAAAACTGTAGTTTCACGTAAGGATCTAGTCCGAAACCGTCATTTCGCATCTACTGAGAGTCACGTGTCTCACGTCCCTTCCTTTGGCTTGGAAAAACCTCAATTTCCGCCTCCGACGAACTGAAGTCCTCTCTTTCTCTCTCTCTCTCGCCTGAATCTCGGACCGGCAGAGCTCGACGTCACCGGAGAAAATGGTGACTCCGGAGAGCCAACAGCCGGAGAAGGCAACGCCTTTGAGGCACGCCTTCGGGAACGTTTTGTCATTCGCGATCCTCGTGCTCATTGGGGTCCTTGCTTTCTCGATCCGGCTATTCTCTGTGAGACCATCGATATCACTTCTTAGATCCGATCTCTCGTTTTGTGATTGTTCATTGAAGCTTTCCTGAATCAGATAGTTTTTGTGTGACTGGAGCTGATTGTGCTGTCATTTTGTGTTGTACAATTCGGTGGAGGCATTGCCTTTGATTCTGCATTTGACCCATGTTGAATTTAAGCTGAGGATTTGTATGGAATTGCTTGAAATTTTTGGGTTTTGTCCCTTTCCTTTGAGACTGTTGTCTTTCAAATATCAAAGAAGACAAATGAGAAGAATGTTTGGTCGTTTCATTTCCATTGTACTCTCTATGGATACCCAAGCTTCCAGCTGACTTGGGAAAGATGGAAGAAATCAGTATAATTCCGTAGTAGTTTTCAGTCTTTATCTGTTTGTATTCTTGAAGGACGGTGTTAATCCTTGCGTGTTTTAGCAAATCTCATTCACTCTTTGATTGGTTTACAGTTATGTTTTTAATTCCAATGTGATTTTAGCAATCTCATATTCTCTTTGATTGTTTTACAGGTAATTAAGTATGAAAGTGTGATTCATGAGTTTGATCCGTACTTCAACTATAGAGTCACTCAGGTTACCTCTCTGTTCCTATATCTAGAAACGTATATTCCAGATTAATTTGCTTGGATTCACTCAATTTTGTGTTGGATTTCCTAACTATGTGATGTGATATCCGTTGTCTGTTCAGTTTTTATCCAAGAATGGGATTTACGAGTTCTGGAATTGGTTTGATGATCGAACCTGGTAATGTGGCTCAGAAGTTAGAATTTCTTGGAACTATTTATTGTAACATTCTGAAGTGTTTTTCATGGTTTGTTCTCATTCAATTCTACTCAAGGTATCCCCTTGGCCGTGTGATTGGAGGAACTGTTTACCCTGGATTGACTTTGACAGCTGGAACCATGTGGTGGTGAGTGTAGTTTAATTGTAATAAGTTTTATTTTTAAGTATCACATACTTATTTATGAGTGGTCTTTAACAAGTAAATTCCTCTTCTTCAGGGCCTTGAATTCCTTAAACATTCCTCTCTCAGTGGAGACTGTTTGTGTCTTCACAGCACCTATATTTTCGGCCTTCGCTTCTTGGGCAACCTACCTTTTGACCAAGGTTTGTGGCTTTGTGTGGTAGTGTTTATTGTTTAACATGAAAATTCATATTAGATTCTGGAACTAGGTATTCTAACTATTTTCATCTGCATTGCTAACAGGAGGTTAAGGGTCCTGGTGCAGGATTGACAGCAGCTGTTCTTTTGGCCATGGTAATTTTTTCAAATGGTGTATGTAAAATTCTTCTTAATTGGCATTTACAGAAACCTCTGAACAGCAGACATTTCAGACCCCAGAAAATCATGTGTTATACCTTTTCTCATATTTTTATTTTATATGCTTAAATTTGCTGTGTTGTAAATATATATCATGTTGGATCAGCATGCATCACTCATGTGTCTTTAGTAGAATTTGCCTTTGAAGTTTGTAGATGTTCCATGCCTTAGAAGTTATTTTTTACTTAATGTATATTTTTTCAGGTTCCCTCATATATATCCAGATCTGTAGCTGGAAGCTATGACAATGAAGCTGTTGCTATATTTGCTTTGATCTTTACTTTTTATCTTTATATAAAGGTTAGATTTTTCCCTATCTCACTTATAATTGTTTTGAGTTTGACTGCCAAAGTTTAAGTTTTCTCAAGCAAGCAGCATTGCCTATTCCTGTTGAATATTTTGCTGTTTTAGTAATCCTTGCTATATACTATGTGCAGACACTAAATACAGGATCCCTGTTTTACGCCACGTTGAATGCCTTGGCATACTTTTACATGGTACAACTATGGACGCTGTGTCTTTTCCTTCTCTTTTCATTTTGTTATATTTCCACGCAAATTTCTGATAATTAATCTTTTAGGTATGTTCTTGGGGAGGCTACACTTTCATTATCAATCTGATACCAATGCATGTGCTTCTGTGCATTGTGACGGGCCGTTACTCTTCTAGACTGTACATTGCCTATGCTCCTTTGGTAAGGGCCTTTTATACCTTTTCTGAGAGAAGTTTAATTGTAGAGCGGTTTTTGTTTCGTTCATTGTAGAAGCTGAATATATCATTAACGGTTTTCAGAGGGTGTATATTATTTGTCTAATCAAGCCGGGTGGCTGATTATTCAATATAGTGAAATGTTTTCTGAGCATCCAGTCTTGACACTATACTGAGCTAAAAATCATAATTCATGGATGTTGAGGAATTTGAGAAATAAAATGATTTTGTGCCATGAAATTCCCAAACTTTCAGCTGGATTTTTTATTCAAGAAGATTTAATACTGATTCATTGGTTCTCACTAACAGAAATAACCTTGTGGTGGTATTGCAATCTGAGAAAAACTGTGCGTGTATCTTTGTTTCTAATATTGCTTTTGTCCCTTTGGACTCCATGTTTGTATATATTACATTACTTAAGGTTTTGAACATTAGCTGACGTTTAAAATTCTGTATATGTACAGGTTGTGCTGGGGACATTGTTAGCTGCATTGGTACCTGTCGTGGGATTCAATGCAGTCATGACATCTGAACATTTTGCCTCATTTTTGGTGAGTCTTTTCCCATTCAGTTAATCGGGTATCTTATCTTTAACAGAAACGAGGGAGGGATGTCAGCATTTTTTGGATTACAGATTCTGTATGCGTAATGTTTACCAGTTTCAATGCTTAGTGTGTTAACTATATTTTAGTAGGAGTTTGCTAATTTGTACGTGAAGAGATCCAAAAGTTAGTTGCTGGAAGACTTTGAATTTTTAGGTATTCTAAGTTATATGTCTGATCTTGGGATTCCTGCTATGTAAGAGAAGATTTTAAAATCTTGAATTTCTTTTGGAATAATTACTCCTGAGATAATCTTCTCTGTTTAGCTTCGGATCTCCCAGATTTAGTCGTGCTGCATGTTTAGGTAGTGGCTTTTTAGAATACTCAAAGATTTCATGGTTAAGTTTATGCTTGCTTCTACTGCCTATTGTGCAACTCAACCTTGCTTAATTTACCTGTCTATATTGTGTTTGTAATCTGTGCAGGTTTTCATCGTCATCCATGTTGTAGCTCTTGTATACTATATCAAAGGCATCCTTTCTCCCAAAATGTTCAAAGTTGCTGTGACACTTGTTGTGACTGTTGGCCTGTAAGCATTTTAATATTGTTTTCCTTTCACATACCTATGATAATTTCAAATGCTATTTTGATGAGGGCTAGTGGGGGGCTGTAAGCAATTTAATACTGTTTTCCTTTCACATATCTATGATAATTTCAACTGCTATTTTGATGAGGTCTGGTTGAATTTTATTATTATTTATTTGTCATGGGATGGTAAGCTTATCTAAGTTCTTTGGTTGCTTCAGGGTCATATGTTTCATAGTTATGGCAGTTCTTATAGCGCTGGTGGCGTCAAGTCCAACAATGGGATGGAGCGGTAGGAGTTTGAGTCTCCTTGATCCGTAAGTAGTCTATATTCTGCTGATCTTCTTTCTCAATTTAATTTTCTTTCTCAAATTTTGGGTTGATTCTTGTCCTCATTAGAAGGTTCTTTTTTATCTGGGTTTTATCTGAAAAATATCTTCATAATTCCGTTTTGTATAGAAGTTATGTTTAGTATTGTAGGATTTATTCTAAGAATAGCTTGGTGATTTTGAAGTTGTTCTTTCACGTTAGTAATAGGGTCTTGTAAAACTGATAATTTTGCACTCTGTTGTGGATTTGAAGAGCATGTTATTGATGGCATTGTCTTTGGATTTGGGTCCATACGCAATATACTTGAACTCAGGAAATTTCGAGAATCATTTGAGCGAGCAACATCACACTTTTTCTTAGTTATTATGGTATTTGGAGCTAATTCAATTTGAAAACTTTTGGGACCATTTATCCCGCTGAATTCGATTCAGACTTCTGCCTTCTTCCTCCTCTGACATTGCTTTTTGTTTCTTTATCCTCATGCTGACAGAACTTATGCAAGCAAATATATACCAATTATTGCAAGTGTCAGTGAACATCAACCTCCTACCTGGCCATCCTATTTTATGGATATCAATGTGTTGGCATTCTTGGTCCCTGCTGGAATTGTTGTGAGTTAGACTTCACTGTAGATACAGATTAAAGCTGCATAACATTTATTGGTATTTATCCTTTTTGTGTTGATTATTCTCTTCTTCTTTGTGTTGGTAGGCTTGTTTTTCGCCTCTCTCAGATGCCAGTTCTTTTGCAGTCCTCTATATTGTTACGTCTGTCTATTTCTCTGGAGTTATGGTGAGAAAGCGTGTCTACCTCTCTCATTTAGCTTCTTCTTGTTTCCTTACCTATCCTTGGCCTTTCAACCTTGTTTCCTTCTTTTTTTCCTGATCTTTTAGGTTCGCCTTATGCTTGTTCTTGCTCCAGCTGCATGCATCATGTCTGGCATTGCTCTCTCTCAAGCGTTTGATGTTTTCACGGGATCTATCAAATTCCAGTTAATTGGAAAAACTTCCAGTTCCACCGAGGATGTAAGAATGGTTCTTTCTCCTTCATATTGTCTGTTATGAATCTTTTGTATTTACCATTGCGGACTAATTTGGTTAAATATTTTGGCTGTTAAGGCAGGGGACAACTCTCCTACGAACAATGCACCAAAAGATGATGTTCCTGCTTCTAAGATTGACAAAAGTGAAGAAACAGCAAAAGAGCGGCCCTCGAAGAAAGGCAAGAAGAAAGAGAAAGAGCCCAATGAAAAACATTTTGTTAAGCCCAAGCCTGTAAAGAAGCCTCTTACTTTACCCCTTGAAGCATCTGTAGTTGCTCTTCTTCTCCTTATAATGCTGGGTGCTTTCTATGTGGTATGGAGGATTATCTTCATTTGATCTTATTTCTGAAAGTTTCTGTATTGTTTTTGTGATAATATCGGGACATCTATTTTTCGACTTGTCTTTTTTGCCTGTAGGTTCATTGTGTTTGGGCAGCCGCAGAAGCATATTCAGCTCCATCAATAGTTTTGACATCTCGTACCCGTGATGGCATGCACGTCTTTGATGACTTCAGAGAGGCTTATGCATGGTTGAGCCATAACACTGATGTGGACGACAAGGTGATTATTTCCATTTTCCATTAAACATTCCTCCTTAATCTTGAAATGTAAATGTAAAACTATGATGACATCCGAATGTCATGAATGCAAGTTTGTGTTATCAAATATATAATAATTTTTGACAAATGGAGTTGCCTGAATTATGAACTCGCACCAAATCTTCATGCAGGTGGCATCATGGTGGGACTATGGTTACCAGACAACAGCAATGGCTAATCGAACTGTTATTGTTGACAACAACACATGGAACAATACTCACATTGCAACTGTTGGTACTGCCATGTCATCTCCGGAAAAGGCAGCTTGGGAAATTTTCAACTCCTTGGACGTGAATTATGTTCTTGTCGTCTTTGGAGGTATAGTTGACTGATGGTTTCTTCCTTTGTGTCTTATATTAGAAATCGATTTTCTGATAGGACAATCTTTCAACAGGTCTTATCGGTTACTCAAGTGATGATATAAATAAGTTTCTGTGGATGGTTCGTATTGGAGGCGGTGTCTTCCCTCATATACGAGAATCTGATTACCTGGTACTTCTCTTTCCTTGTCGTTTCTTCTTGCTATGAATTATGATGATTCATTTTCTTTTTCCACTTTTGATACCGAATATGAACTTTTTTTTTTAATGATTTCTTGTTTTGATAAAGAGAGATGGCAATTACCGGATTGATTCTGAGGCCACTCCAACAATGTTGAACTGTCTCATGTACAAGCTCTCGTACTACCGGTATGATATCCTCTCTTGAACACACGTATCGTTCTATGTGTGATTCGGCTTCTTCTGTATGGCCTCATTTATATGTTATCCTCCAGGTTTGTAGAGACAGATGGAAAGGGTTTCGATCGAGTTAGGCAAACAGAAATCGGGAAGAAGCATTTCAAGCTCACACATTTTGAAGAGGTGAGATAAATTCTCTACTCACCATTTCATTAATTGGGTCCTTTTTAATGTTTTGAATATATATATATATATATATATATATATTTAAATTGGGTTCCTTACACTTGGATGGTTAGGCTTTCACAAGTCACCATTGGATGGTTAGGATATACAAGCTGAAACCCCCAAAGAACAGGATTCGTGGGAAGACAAAGAAGTCGAAATCGGTAAGAATATTCCATGCTTAGTTTCATTCTTCCTTCCTGAATCCTATCTAACCTTTTATTTATCTCTGTGAACCTATTGAAATCCACGTCCATCATAAATCACATCATGGTTCGTAATAGACTAGCTAGTTGTTTGAGCTCCGATAGATTTGGCATGGAAATGAACTCTCATACCGACAAATAAATTCTAATAAGGACTAACAGAATATTAACAAAGGGATGGTATTCTTTCAAAGTGTACAATTCCAGCATCTTTTTTTCCGAGATGGCTGAGTGTTTAATGAATGTCGTCTTTTGTTGTTGTGCTGACCAGAAGAAAAGCTCGGGAACGAGCTCAAAGAGATCAACGAAGAAGAACCCGTGGAGCTAAGTAAAAAACCCAGAGCTCTCAAAGTAGGATAATGGTTGTGATGGTGATGATGTAGGTGAGTTATGTAACTCTTATACAGACATCTCTGCTTATCTATGCAGTAGCAGAGATTTCGTAGGCAAGACAAGACATTCGGGTCCTCTTCTTGCCCTGGGATTTCACGGAAATTTATCCTACTTTTTCTCCCCGTATTTAATCGATTTTGAATTTTTGTTGGATGAAATCTTAGCATATTGAATGATGATCCCTTCTAATTGCTTTCAAGAAAACGTATCTTGGAACTCGACCATATGCCCAAAACATGATAATATTATGCATGTGAAGCCTGCTCTCTCTGTGTAATCATGTCGGCCTGGTCGAGAAGACGTCTTAGATCCGAGCCGAAGTGTGTTTGGCCGGCGAGAAAACGCGAGAAAGTCAATGGCAAGCTAGTGAACAGAGAGAAACAGGAGATGGGGAAATTCTGTTATCGGTTTTGTTTGGTGTTGAAGGAAAATTTAAACATTCAAACCAAATGGAAAACAAATTAAATTCAATCTAATCTCAATAAACTTCACTTTAGTTTTATTTAATTTTATCGGAAGATATTCTCGTTAAAGAAAAACCCTATGAATTACAAAAATACTTGAGCGTACTCAAACTGTGATTTTCTATAAGCATTATTTCGGTCACATTTTAGTTAAGGAAAAAGCCAAGACTCGACCCTTGAAACATCTCCAACTTTCATCACAAGGAACACATCAAGTTTGTTGCTTGTAAATACTCAGATCAGCATGCGTTTCCTCGTATCGTCGGCTAAGGTACGTCGAGCATTTGATCGGTGGAAATCTACACGCCGGGAAAAAAACAACGAGGAAACAACGTTAGATCAGGAAAAAAAAAAGCTAAACATTGATTCATAACGAAAGGTCTCAACCGAAAAAAAATGGATGGCTATCGGCCCTCGTTAAACGGACTGCACTGTCGATGTTGCTACGATGCAAAGGCGCAAATTCCACCTCGAGTATCACAAATTGATATCCATACTTATATCCGAGAGTTTCAGGTATCCGAATTACAAGTACCCAACACAATATTTGGATTCAGGGGTATCCGAATCCAAAATTATATTAAAAATATAATTCTAACAAAAAATGCATAGAACTTCGACTACCTGAACTCGTACCCGGAGACAAAAAGTTATTTGTCGCCCAAAATAACCGATTTTCGGTAATTAAAACATGTAGAGAAGAGAGGAAGTTTTGATTTTGAATGAGGAGAACTATGGTTGGTTAGCTTAGATACTCTCATGAACAGAAAGAACTTACTTGGGAAGGTTATTCTCCGACTTGCAAGTTGGAAGACACTCCACAAGACAATCATGACTAGGTTCCACAAAGAACGGAATCTGCAACATGAACAAATGATCATCATCATCATCCTTAACTCGATTAAATACCGATGCTATGTTTTGCGGGAAAAGGAGCTTCTGCTGAGAAGATAAGATAAGGGGCCTTACGGAATAGCGTTCTTGACCATTCCCGAGAACCCGATGCAAAGTGGATCTGTTAATAAGGTACATATAAGATCAGCTCGGAAATTTTCACTTGCAGTGATACAAACAAAGAGATGCAAGTAACAAAAAAAATAGGCTAAATCATTAAGAAACTGATAATCAAGTAATCGCCCTTGATAATTTTCTAACCGGTTATTTTAGACAAATAACCAAAACGTGGCTTCGAAATTAATTGTTCAAATAGGTTTGCTTTTTCATCTCATCAAATTGGTTACGAAAGAAATTGCATTGATGTCACGATATCAACATTTTTAGTCAAGAATTTTTACTTGAAATAGCCATTGCTCCAACGCTCCAGCATATCACCGAGATTCACTATAAAAGCTCTGTACACAAAAGTCCATCAAATATGTATCGCCTCATTCACATTGCCGATACTAACATAATAATAGCTATTCAGAAATTAAGATTGGAGAAAAATCCGAAAATGTCTCATCATACCCTTTAACCGGTGGTACATAATCCCACTTCTGAGGCTTAGAGTTCTTATCCTTGCATATCTGCCATAATGTTATAGTAATTTTCTATGAGTAATCTGGTAATATTAAACGGTATAGTACAAACAAAAACTGTATCTCGAGTTATATGTTTGATACCTGAAGTCCCGTGACAGAATCCGTTGCTAAGAGAGTGATCATTCCGTAATCAGAATGTGCCCCACATGCATACATTCCTTTCAAAGGGTCGGATATCCCTATAGGTAGGAAGGCAATGATATGAGTGTAACGACTTCATACAATTCATTCATATACATTTTGTCTACAACCCTTTTCCGGAAAATTCCACCTTCATAATGTAGCAAACGCATCGTTGCAATAGGCTTCCCGAGCATTTCTGGGCTATCGAAGTAGTTTGCATCCAAGCCGAGTGCCAATGCTAATAATCTTGCAATAGCCATCGAAACCTTCCTGAACATAAAATAACTTATCATAAACAATCCAGCAGGGAATTTTTCAAGGTAATAATAGGTTCCAACATTGTCCTTACAATGCTTCTTGATGATATTTCTCCATTGTCTCGCGCCATCCGGGCAATATATCTACAAAAACAGCAAATTTAACACAATGAGAACACTATGCATCAAGATAAAAACCACTTCTCCGACAGTAACGTGGCAAACCAACCAGCACTAGGCCAAGGATTTGGGGCATAGAACGGTTTGTCCCAATCGGGATCATCTTCAGGCACTTCAATGCCTATGTAATACCCTTCTTTGTAATCACCTATATATACAATGCAATACACATCACAGCAAGAACTGAAAGCAAAATCAATATTAAGATTGTTGCTGTTCAAAGCTAAATCAGACAAATTCCATCAGATTTTTTCTTTTTTGCATGACACGAACCATGGACTTGATTATCAGGATCAAGGATCTCATCAAGAACAGGGGTATAGCCTCTGTGCTTTTCATTTCTCAAAACCTTCATCTTCTCCTCCGATGGGAGAGCGAAAAACTTCTTACTCTGCTCGAAAACCTCATCCATGAACTCCTGACTTATTCCGTGATTAACCACATAGAAGAACCCACAATCCAAACATGCCTGGAACATAAATACCCAGAAAAAATTACGACAAAAAAGCACCGATATCTCCGCCTCAGAATCGAATAATCGTGACAAAAACATAGATCATCTTGTATTAAACCAATCGAAACGAAAAACCCAGAAAATTTATGAAGCACCCAGCACAGAACTGAAGAATCGTGGACCTGTTTGAGGGAAGCTACTGATTGATGAAGATCAGGGCTCGAGAGATCGATGCAATTCAAGGATGAAACTTTCATCTTCGTAGCTTCCTGGGTTTGATTCTCTTCTCGATCCCTCTGGATGGAATCCTTAATTGAAATTGCAGAGAAGATTCAGAGGACGATTCGAGAATTGTGCCGTTGCCGTGTACGAGTGATTCGTAATATATTGCTCTGCCTCTGGCGTCTTCTTTATATTAAAACATAAAATTTCCGAGCCGCCAGTATGAACTTGCGGTCTTCGTTCGTTCAAAAGTGTCATTCGGAAGAGAAGGGGCCCTACGGTTTTCTCTTTTTCCCCTTTTTTGTTATTTTAATTAATTTCAAAGAAATTATTTTTTTAAATAAATAAATAATCATTTTTCTTCTTTCTATTTCCTGTTTCAATATATAATTTCGAACAGAAAATACATTTCAAACTGTGAACCATCCTCACCCAAACAAAACAACAAAAGTGAACAAATGCAATAGGTGTGCAACTAGTTTTTTTTTCTGGTATGTTAGAGTTTTTGGAGTTTATAAAATTCAAGAATAAAAATTTATCATTCAATTTTTTATAATTTATTTTTCTTAAAAATTTGGAAAATTAGATTAAAAAATCAATAAAAAACTAAAAACTACATTTTTTAGACTTATAAATATTATAAAATCCAAAAAATAAAAACCAAAAACTAAAAACTATAACCAAAAATTCAAAATAAAAACCATCTCCATTCAAAACCGGAATTGATAAAAGTTAAAAATGATTAAATAAATAAATCAATTTTTAATTATTTAATTCGATTTGATTTATTCTGGTTTTATTTGGTATATTTCATCTGTTCGTTGAGTTTTATCTGCAAAATAAATTTAATTTAACCGGATACTTTTTTTTTTCAAATTCGTTTGTTTTTTAACAAAACTAATTCTAAATTGTTTTTTTTAATCTCACTCCTTCTCAGAACCAAAAAATGTGTGTGTAGATATATATATATATATACAACCTATATATAATCCATACATTATGATATTTGTAATAAATTATTCATAAAACATCGATTTAACCACAAAACACATAAAATTTACTTTGACAGGAGGATCTCTTGCCGACACAAGGGACATGATCTCCCGCTGCAAGAGAGCCAAGTGGCAATACAAGAGGAATGGTACACGTGGCCACACTGGGTCCGTTTCCCGCCAATTCCCGGATCAACGTATTCCATGCAAACCAAGCAAGCGTACCGGTCCGGGTAAACCGTTGGCATCTTCTCCAACGTGGACTCCACGACCTGATCGGTGACCAAAACGATGGCGTTTGACTCCGTCGACGGGCGATGAACAATAGGCATGGCGAGAGCTTCGTCGAGGTCGAAGAGTAAGTCTAAAACGATGCCGTTTGGCTCCAACACCGTTGTCATCCTCCTTGGGGAGAGAGCCAGAGAGAGAGAGAGAGAGAGAGAGTTGATGCGGAGTATGGTCTCGTGAGTATTTGCGCATATAGTTATATAGCGTACAGTGTGTAAATACAGATGTGTGTGTATATCTACACGTAATATAATATGTACTTTTAATATACTTTATAATTTAAATTTTTTGGATTTCAATCTTTTTGTACTTGTATTAATTTTTCTTCGATTTCAATTTATTATTTCAATATACTTTATAATTTTAGTTTTTTTTTGTATTTCAATCAATATATATAATATATTAGAGGAGGAATTAGTTAAAATACATCTGTTATATAATTATTTTAAACTAAATAGACCTTTTCTATATAAAAGTACATAATATGCTGATATAAAATTACAAATCTTTTTCAAGAAAAATAAAAATTTTATTTCATAAATGTTTCAAAAAATATCATACTGCTGAATAAAAACTAAATTTAACTATATATATATATATATATATATATATATCACTAATAACTTTTGCACTTATTGGCCATATTCTGGATAAGGTCTATCAATTTCTGACAGGTATTTTAAAGAGTTGAAGTTTAGTTCCTCTTGCAATTTTTTTTGAAGTGGGTCCACTTTTATTAGAAAATTGATGTCAATTAATTTGTTATATTCAATAATTCAACAAGTTGGATGAAGCTATTTGATTTGATGGAGAGATAAGTCTTTTGTACAGTTATTTTGTAAAAATTGATAAATACAGATTTTTGTTTGGGATTTTTCCTAATCTTTATAAATTAAGGTTTTTTGTCGAACCAACAAGTGAATAATTTTTCTTTTAATTAAATCAATGTTGTATATAGTAAAAGGAGCTGTTATTTAAAATAAAACTAAGCGCTCTTTAAGATTTATTGTTGTTAAATCATTGTTTAAGTAATGCATGGTCCTTGCTTTGGTAGCATGCATGGATGCATGTCTCATCCCTCAAGAGTGGGTAATCGCGGAACGAAAGAGATGTGGCTAATGCTCAGAATTAAATTCTAATTCATAATTTAATGCTAATATACAAATATTCTATCGTTTCGATTTCAATCTTATTATTGTATTCATTTGAATTAAATTTAATGTAAAATTTGATTGGGAAATAATTAGAGAAACGGTATTTTCGATTCGAATTAATTATTATATAGAGAAAAAAAAGTGAAATTTTTTAAAGTGGACAAAAAAAGCTAAAGAACCGTTAATAACAATAATAATTAAAAAAAATAGTCAACGAATCGTCGAAATAAGAATAAATAAATGTGAAAAAAATTAAAAAGAAGGGCCAAAGTGGTTGATATTGCCATATTTATAATGATAGAGACAGCAGCCAAATTTTCCAACAGCTTCATTGTAGTTGGGCTCTTAAATTCAAATATAATATATTTAATTATGTTACATATACATAGTAATAGCATTATAGCAACGATCCAAATCCGATTTAACAACGGATTCCAATATACATTCTTGCACGCAAAATTAACTAGACAATGATCCGTATACAATTTTTTTCAAGATTTAACTTCTTGGGCATGAACGAGTCTCGAGAACTCGCCGCCCGTATTCTTGAGCCTAGCGTAACTCCCGGTCTCGACCACTTTCCCGTCGGCCACGACCGCAATACGGTCGAGGTTTTTGAGGGTGTTCAGGCGGTGAGCCACTGCCACGACCGTGATGGACCGTCGGGCCATGATCCGGTCCAATGCTTCTTGGACCGCCCGTTCAGATTCCACGTCTAAAGCGCTCGTGGCCTCGTCGAGAAGAAGGATTTTCGGGTCACGGAGAACGGCTCTCGCGATTGCGACTCTCTGCTTTTGCCCTCCCGATAGCTGGACTCCTCGTTCTCCACACTCTGTGTCATACCCTTTCTTCAATTCCCTGTTTCCATCGCCAATGCTTTGGATTAGGGGAAGTAACCAAAATATTTTGAAGAACATAACCGGAGAAATCAGGAAATTGCTTACGAGATGAATTTATGAGCATTGGCGGCTTTGGCGGCCTCCGCCACCTCATCCTCAGATGCTTCGGGCCGTCCGAGGAGAATATTCTCTCGGATACTGCCGGAATATACCACCGGCTCTTGGCTTACGACTGCTGTGTGTTTCCTATACCAATGAACATTCATTTCTCTCAAATCCACGCCGTCGATCCTCACCGATCCTTTCTCCGCGTCGTAGAACCGTTGGATCAATCCGATCACCGTCGATTTCCCGCATCCCGATTTCCCGACCAGTCCCATGCTCGTCCCGGGTTTTACGTCCAACGAGAACTGGCGTAGGACTGGGATTTGCGGCCGTGTAGGGTACGAGAAATCGACTTGTTTGAATTCTATTCTTCCTGTTATTGTTTCTAACTTTGTTCCACTGTTTTCATCTTCCTTCACCTGCACATACATTAGATGTTCCCTGAATTATGATTTTATATCAAATGAAAGTAACTATAGATTCAAGATTTACATACTTGAGAGGAAGGACGGTCCAGGATCTGGAAGACGGAGGCGACGGCTGCAGAGCCCTTGGCGAGGTCGGAAGTCATGCTTCCTGCCTCGGCTATAACCTTTCCCGTGCTGACCAAAACGAAGAACGTCTTGAAAACGTCCCCGGCCGAGATATGACCCTTCTGGACCAACACTCCTCCGTACCAAAAATCCAAAGCCCACGTCATAAACGTCAGGCACTGAGCCGATCCCATCCCGATTCCCGCGAGCCAAGTTGCCTTCTCTCCTTTTCTCTTCGCCTCTTCTTGAGCCTTGTCGAAAATCTGGACAATCTTCCTCGTGGATCCGAAAGACGTGACTATCTTGTGGTTGTATATGGCTTCCGACGCGATTTGGGAGCTTCGGTTTTGCGCGCTTGTGAAATTGTGCGAAATGTTGGAGAGCAATACTTTCTTTGTGTAGAAGCAAAGGATCGTGATCGGTTGGACCGCGATCATGACCAACGCGAGCTTCCAAGCAACGATCAATCCTATGATCATCGCTATTGTGACGCCAGAAATCGTCTGGACGAGTAGAGAGACTCTGTCAGACAATAAGGACTTAACCGAAGAAGCTTCTCCGCTCAGCCTCGAGCACAATGCGCCACTAGAGTTCTCTTCCGAATCGAACCAGGCAGGCTCGAAAGATAAGATCTTCTCCAGCATTCTTAGGCGGAGTCTTTGCGTTAATCTCTCGCCGACTTTTGCAAAGCTATAGTGTTGGAGGAGGTTTAGGACAATCGAGACCACGGTTAGGGAAGAGAATATCAAGCAATAGGTACGTATTCGATCCTGCATTTCTTGAGGATTCTTCGCAAAAAACGCTGAAATCATACCGCCAATGGTCAACGCATAAACGGGTTGGACTGCGCCGAAAGTTGCAGCTGAAAGGCAACCGGTAATGGCGGGTTTCCAGTCGGGCGAAATCAACGGGAGAAGACGAGAGAAGGAAGGAGAAGGGCGGTGAAGGGATGGCGAGGCCAGGATTTCTACATTTGTACTCTCCAACGGGATCAAAGGAGAATCAAACCAACCTGGGCTAGATCTTACACTTAGCCTGCTAAAACTGTTCCTCGCAGGGGTTCTGGCCATATCTTGATGCTCACAAACACTGAACTGTCTCTGAAATCTCGCAAGTTTTGCGTATTTCCCGTTCTGAATCATCAACTCCTCGTGATTACCCATCTCCAAAATGGAACCATCCTCCAGCACGGCAATGTGGTCGGCACCATGGACCGTGGAAAGCTTGTGGGCAATAACCTGTTTTGACAATCAGTATGGTTACTTGTCATACAGGAAACATCGAAAAGATTCGAGTATATACACTATAAGCTATATACATCAAAGCCGAAGAGTTGGAAATTTTATCTATACCAGTGTGGTTCTTCCCATGGAGGCCTGATCAAGAGCATTTTGAACCAGTGTTTCGGATTCGCCGTCCAGAGCACTCGTCGCTTCATCCAGAAGTAAAATCACCGGATTCCGTATAATCGCCCGAGCTATCGCAATCCGTTGCTTCTGCCCTCCCGACAAAAACGCCCCTCGCTCGCCTATCTGTTTAGTTTATCAGATTTGACAAAGATACATATACATTACAATACAATATCTTCACAGGTTGTGTATCTATGTAATCACATACCTTGGTTTCATACCCTTCAGGAAGTTGTGTAATGAATCCATGGGCATTCGCAGCTTTTGCAGCTGAAATCACTTCATCCATTGTAGCATCATGTTTCCCAAACGTTATGTTCTCCCTTATGGAAGTCCCAAACAATGCATGTTCTTGACTAACAAGCGCCATCTGATGCCTCATCCATTTCAGCTGGAGAGTTTTTATATCGAACCCGTCGATCCTTACAGACCCTTGGATCGGGTCGTAGAATCGTTGTACCAAAGCTACCGCGGTAGATTTCCCACTCCCGCTCGCCCCGACAAGTGCAACGGTCTTCCCGGCTTCGATTCTGAGAGAGAAGTCCTTTAGAATTATGGAATCCGGACGAGAAGGGTACCAAAACGTCACGTGCTCAAATTCTATGACTCCTTTCATGTTCTTGTTTATTATGAATCCTTTCGTCGTATCTTCCCCGTCTATCTCCGGTTTTCTGTCGATCCTTTCGAATATTCGAGCCACCGCCACTGAGGCCTCTGTAAAGTACTTCACTTCTGGTAATGTCATGCCCAAAGACCTGCATGAAATTTCAGTAACACATCAAATTTAGCAGCGATACAAGCTATATGTATATGTGACATAAGATGTAAATTTCATCACTGGTACATATACACAAGCTGCAGCGAGAATCTGATCTCAAGACATATATATAAGTCATATAAGCATGTCGGAATCAGGAGGTGATTTTCACTCACAGTCCGCTCAAGACGAAGGAAATCCCGGCTGCGTAAACACGTCCGCCGCTTGCTTCATGGTACATAACCAATCTGCTACCGTACCACGCAAGAAAAGCCCAGATGGCGAAAGAAAGACCGGTACTTCCCACGGCCAGACCTTTGGCCTGACCCTGTTTAATCCCGAGCTTCGTTGTTTTCTCCAGCATATCTGAGTAATTCTTGATGACCCTTTTCTCGGCCGTGAAGGAATAGATTGTCTTGATCGAGCTCAGAGCTTGTTCCACGACCGAGTTCGCTTTCGCATACTCCTTGAACGATTTCTTGGATAAGTAGACAAGGTATTTGCCGTAGGTCATCCCCGGAATGATCAGGAGAAGTAGAGATGGGATCGCGACGAGGGTCAATCTCCATGAGAAGTAAGCCGAAAAGGCGAGTCCGGTGAAGAATACGGACGCGTGCATACAAAATGTCGGCACCTGCAAGAGCATCGGACCGGAAAAATCAAAGATACTATAGATTTTCCAATGTTTGTATAGACATATATATATATATATATATATATATATAAACAAAACAAGATTCAGCAATTCTGTACACACACATATACATATGTATACATGGAAAAGGGCAATGGTAGAGGATGAACTGCAAATTTCGATATATCATATATACTATTTAAATGATTCACCAGACTAACGTACATATCCGAAAATCGGTCCAAAAAGTTTATAACTCTAATGATATGTGGAAGTTTAAGATTTATTTGGTGTACCTTCTCGCTAAGGACTTGTTGGATAAGAGAGGTGTCGTTGGAGATACTGCTGATGATCTCTGAAATGGAAGCTTCTTGTGAATCAAAGAAAGAGACTTCCTGTCTTAGAACAGCTTCCAGATATGTCCGGCGAATCTTCATCACTTGCCTCTCGCTCGTCTTGCTCCAACAGTACCCTTCTGCATCAAGTCAAACCCGACAGCTTATTATATGTAAAATATCCATTTCTTTCGTGAGTTTTAAGGCATTGTAGGTCAATTTCTCGACGTTTTTTCTCTATTGAGCTTCATTTGATTTGGCCAAGATATGTGTATATATATATATA